TCTGCCTGAGAATATGTGTGAGTGTGTGTTTGTCTGAGAATGTACGCGTGTGTGTGTTATTCTGAGAATGCATATGTGTGTATGTGTGTGTCTGTCTGTTAGGGAGATAATATGATAGGAGTCATTGGAACAAAAGCTTGCTATCAGGTAAGTGGAGAACTTCATATATGAATTACCTATGTTTTTGTCTTACGTATCTATCCACAACACATAACCTTATATATCTAACCACAACATCTTCCTGTGAAATATGTGTACTGACAGTATCACATAAGCCTTTAAATATTCTGAAATAATGCATAGAGTATTTCAAAAGTATAGTTAATAAAAATTATATATAATCAGCTGTAAACAATGCCACCAAACAGTTAAAAGATGGTGATGACCATTATTGTTCACAGCAGGTGTAAAGAATAATAGAAATGCATAACAACACAGTTCTTTAAAATATAATAAAATGATATACTGTATTGATTGATTTAATATCATATATAATGTACAACTTATAAGAACACAGATAAAATGACTTAAAACATTATCAGTAATATTTTTTAACTGATAGGTATATAATTTTTTACATGCATATATAACAAATATAAACATACATTTTGATCTGGTGCAAAATTAAATTAATTACACAAAGACAATCTCTGCAGGCAAGCTGGATGGAGCACCTTTAATTTATTATACAGCTATAGGTGAAATAGAACCTAGTGTTTTAATAAATTATCAATACTGTATAGTAAATCTTCCCAATACCAGATTATTTCTTGCAAGCCTTGTCCCTTATTGAGAGGATTCTGTTATTGAGAATATCCACTATTGAGAATTCCACTATTGAGAAGGTTAACTGTATCCATTACTTTATTGAGAGGATTTACTGTATCCATTACTTTATTGAGAAGTCTGTTATCGAGAGGATTTACTGTACATTGATATTACAGACTGTGAGTACCTATCAGTCTGCATCATGCTAAGGATCATCAACACAGACATTTTATGTCCTTTGCTCCTTGTACATTTGTCTGTAAAATAATTCTCATTATCTTAAAACTAAGACATTAAAATTACAGTACTCTGATAGATACCTTATCAGATATTATGGGGTTTGCTCAATTAAGGTTCCCCCTCTAATATTTACTTCAATAAGCTTGATCATAATAAATGAATTGTGGTTATGCTATGGATAAAGCTCTATCTGCTTGACTTGTACAATATAAACATATTATATAAGGAAAACAAAATAGTACTAAAAATAAACAAAATTGTAAATAAAATCTGAAAAATATTTTATAAAACCTTTCCTAAAATTCTCAAATACACAAGCAATTCTGAGACACATTCATATATATTGTGTACTCCTTCCATTCATCACAACTGCCTTTATAATCAAGGCAATCAATGATCTTACAAAACTAGCATTTCTGTCACTACAGAAATAAAGTAGCCATACACCCAGGCTAAGGTTGTCTTCCACTGTGACTAGACTCCAGTTGTTTATCTTTAGAATCGGATGTGGCAATCTGGGTAAACAACTTCCAAATCTAAGCTTTATCATCATCGTCATCCTTTCACAAGTCAAAAAGCACATGACTATGTATCTCTAAAATATTACCTGCAGTAATGTAATTAGTTATTGTGGATATATTATTACTGAACATGCATAATGTAGGTAGGGTAAGATTTACAATGTAAGTAAAAAAATTCCACCAAGATTTGGGTAGTGCCTCCCTAATTTCCATCCCCAACCTAAATTGTTGTGGAGGTATCTGATATATTAAGCTATAAGGATAAATAGTAACTGGTTACAATGAAGCTAACAATTAAAACTAAGTTAACTGTCATACTGATATGTATTTAGGACTTGCACCATTCAGGTCATTCATTTTTCAAAACTGTTTCAAGGATTGATTTTATTGTCTAGCTGGATGAGATAACATGACTTAAGCATCAATCAAACAACACATTTTCTTTAAGCATTAGTATACAAGGCAAGCCTTGAAAACTGCAGTGACAATAGTAGAATCCAAACCACAGGTTATAATGCTAAATTGTACTTCTGAGAGATTCAAGTTCTGTTAAAATACTGAATTCAACGTACATTTCTGCCACAATCCTCAATCATGTGAAACACAATTCAGGGTTGATATGCTCATTCATATTCTGAGTGAAATTTGAATTATCACAAGCAGCGGTCTAGTAAGCATAATTTGTTGAATCTTGACAATACAAAACCTTTTTTCCTTGATCACAATTTGAAATTTAGAAATTTAAGTATGTGATTGTCAAAGTTACTTTTAATCCAAGTGATCATGTTTACAATAAATACCATCCATATTAAACAAAGATATGTTAATGAAATTGCTTTACTTTGATTTTACTATGAACAAAGAAAATACCGATTAAATTAAAAGTCCTTTTGGGGGGAAAATACAACTAGGATAAGATTAAATTTTGTGAAAATATTTGTCTAGCCAAGATTCAATAAAAGATCCCAAGTGCAAGTTAAAGCCAATATATGCACTTAGCCCAGAAGTGAGAAAAAATAAAAATTCATGAAGTGAACTGTGAAAGTCTAAGATCATTTTTTTCACACAAAGTAGAGGAATCATCAAGCTTAATTAGGGTAAGTAGTTTGAGACAATAAAGTAAATAGGAAGAAAGGGAGACATAATACAGTGTATAAAGGCATGTATATAATGAGTACAGAAAGGGTTACCGGGTAAGGTTCATGCAGTGGGTAAAAATGAAGTATGGGTAAAGAGATGAGGGTCTTGGAGGTAAGGTAAGTGGAGGACATTTTCCGAGGGTAAAGCGAAGGACTTAAAAGATAAGGTAAGTGGAGGAAATTTTCAGAGGGTAAAACTTAAAGCTATTAGACCAAGAAAGACAGGGGCAGAAATTCCTACTGGGTGAAAAGAGAAATGTATCTTCAAGGAGGATGAGAGAAACAGGTCTTTAAAAAAAAAAAAAGAGGAGGCTCTACAGTAGGAAGAGAGAAAATGAGTCTTACTTATGGAGAGATAATGGGGTCTTAAGGACAATAGGAGGATTTTACAAGAGAAAGTGAGAATGGGGTCTCTAAGGAGTGTGAGGATCTTGCAATTGGAAGAGAGGACGGGATATTTAACCCTTATCAGTTGCAAGCGTCTAGTGACCACATGAATTCCAAGTTTTTTTTCCCTCATGTTTTTCTAACCTCCATAGTTCCATTATTTCTCCTGTAATTTTAATGAAGATGGATTACTGAGCAAGAAATTCCTTTATCTGGATGATACTGAGGCCAGGCAACTCTTGCAATACAGGGTGACTTATCAAAGGATCCTCAAAACCATTGGACCAGATCCCTCCAATGTTAGTTTAAGATAAGCTGTTACTCTTTTACAGTAAACTTCTTCTACCCTCTATGCCACTGGCCTCAAATAAGAGAGACATAACACAACATATGTCCCTAAGAACAAGGAATCTCATCAGAACCATGAAATGCTGACTTAAGCACTCAACACCAAAACAATAGCCCTGCTTTCAATGACTTAATGTATGAAATCAAACAAGCCCATACTGAGACAACTCATCATATTCCATTCTAGGTGACTAATTTTCATTGGGGTTCTTGCTCACCAGATCCAAGGATCCCTTATTAAGTTGCCCCATATTATGACAGCTGGCCTTCGGGTGATTAGCCAGGAAATATCATGTTCCAAGTTGTTATTCCCAACTTTGATGTAATCTTTTTTTATTTTATTCAGACACATATCTCCATCTTCAAGTGGATCAGGTAAATCTTCAACTAAAAATAAAGTAATTTCCACTTCTAACAAAAATAAACATGGTATATTTACACAAAGTGAATGAATACTTAAAAAAAAAAGTCTTTGTTTTAATAACAAAACTCATTATTCAGAAAGTAGTATGAAATTTCAAACCCACACACTACTCAATTTTTATTTCTAATTGAATTTAATTATCATGGGCAATCTTTTACAACTGTGTTTTTTTTTGGGGGGGGGGGGGTGCATTTAAAAACCTCTCAAATCTGAGTATAAGAAATGCTAAAAAGGTTAAAGAAAGTGGTAGGGTCTTATGGAGGGAAGATGGAACGGGATCTTCAAGGACAGGAGAAGCTTCTAATAGGAGAGGGAGAGTGGATGGAGTCTATAGAACAAGAGAAGGTCTTAAAAGTTGGTAGAGAGGAGAAATTTCTTAGAACAGAACAAAGTCAATTGTTGGCTGTTATAAACAATGAATAAATTTCTTAGAGTGATTGGGAACAAATTTTCTTAAACAAAAAGGCAGTGATGGTATCCCAATGACGGATACACAAGAGGAGTTTCTTAGTACAGTAGTATCAGGACAAACAGAAGTTTCCTCACGTAAACAAATAAGTGATGAGGAATGAAATTTTGGCTATGTACAGATACAGTAGTACTGTATGTCACTTTAATGGACTTAATATTGCACTAAAAGGTCTGGAACACTGGTAACTCTAGTACAGTAATATCTCCATTAGCCGGAATCCCTCAAACCCGGAACTTTCCGATAGCAGGAATTTTCTGGAAAATTCCGACTTTGGGAACGATTTTCCGAGGGGCACATTTTTCGGAAAATTCCAAGAAAATTGTTTTTTCCGGGTTTGAGAGAGAAAAATCAGGTGAATTTTCTGGAAATTCTGAGAAAAATTTTCCGTTACCCGGAAAATTCCGGGGATGAGGGATATTTTTCCAGGTTCGAGAGATGATGTACAAATGGGCAACTTCTGGAACTTCCGAGGTAATTTTTCTGTTACCCAGAAAATTCCGGGTATGAGGTTTTTTTGGGGGCTTTGAGAGAGTCGTCTCGTTACCCGGAAATCTCTCAATCCCGGAAATGCTCCGCACCAATTGTTCTGGCTAACGGAGATATCACTGCATAACGAAACTTACACCACTTGTCTCCACCTCAAAGTACAGTACCTATATATGGCCTATCCCAGGATGAATGGACATATTGCTTGCCTTTACTTGTATGCCTTCACTGTTTGTATACAAGCTGAACCAATGTACATGATAGTGCACAACTCAACATTAGTTTTGGCAATATCATCATCTAATCATCACACAGCATTGAGATTTCAGGCATTACCCGAACTTCAAATCTTAAGCAAGGCAAATTTCACCAGAAATTTTGCCAAAACTGTTTCAATACATCTTGGACTTACGTTCAGAGCCAGATCCTACTTCTCTGACAACCATTTGTGTGAGTGGTGTACACTTTCAGGTGGAATACTGCTGGGTGTGATGTTGGTGTACTTTGTCTCCTTAATTTGGTCCCCAAAAAAGGTATAAAAACAATGCACAATAATGTCCAATTAACTTTCAGAACCATAAATCTGTAAGGATACCTCATTGCTTTTCCTATATTCTATTCTGTATAAGATAGTTCATCACTGAGCTTATGTAATGTTCGCCCTAGACAGCTTCACTGTAGACCTTATACCACATTTGTTTGCCCCATTGTTATTATTCTAGTGTTACTTTTGCTGGAAAATAATTGCTGAATAAACCTTAAGTCTGCTCTTACAATGTTCCAGAAGTACAAGTGTCCAGTAATTCAACATACTACTGTAGAACAATTAAGTGAAAAGTCTTGAAATTACATCATGGGCTTATGATGTGAGCTACACCAAGGGAATTCACCATAAAAGTGCAATTAAGTGCATGTGTGAAATAAAAAGGAAGGAAAGTTCTAGGAAAATGTCATTACAACACACACACAAATGGATGAAGGCTTCTGAGGCCTGTGAAGAATGAGAGTAATTTTTATGAATTTGGTGTAATTTACACCATATACAAATTTTAATGAGACAGTAATATAGTAGTACAGTACAGTAAATTCATTATCAAAGATTGATTTTTTCCCCATTTAAGTGGAAGAGTTTTACAGAAGTAATTATGCAGCTGATGACAAGTACAGGTCGAGATGGAGCTATTCTTTCAATTTTAAAAAGAAGAAGAGAAGAAACATGAAAATCTGTGTCTAATTTCTGGTTGAATTGGTTAAAGGTCTTGTGAGAGGCTAAAGGAATCCAGACAAGAGATAAACAATAATAAAAGCTAAAATTTGTCTCCCCTCCCCCCAAACCTGAAAATATATATAAATTTTTACTGGACTGTCTCGCAGTGTAAACATGCCACGTCTAAATTCAATCTTGCATTGTTTAATAGTTTAATTCAAGGGATGAAGGACAAGAAGAGATGGATGATGGGCCATAATAAATAAGTCAACTGAGCAAATTATATATATATATATATATATATATATATATATATATATATATATATATATATATATATATATATATATATATATATATATATATATATATATATATATATATATATATATATATATATGGCTAACAAATTTAAGAAAGACTTTGTAGGTTACATCTATAATATTACACAAATATAGTCATATGAAAAAAATCTTTAGAATAAGAAATAAAACAAAATTCTAAATTTTGATACTTCGGAGAATAATGTGGATCCCAATTAAAAATTTCATATAACCAGATAATGAGTTTGATGCAATACTGAGAGAAGGGAAAGGAATAATCTTATGGAGATGGTGGAGGATGTGGTTGGAGTCTGGGTGGGACAGAGTAGTTCTCGAGGAGACTGTGGTGCAATCCATCAAGATTCCCAACGTACATATTAGTTGGTGTGGTTGGAGTTAAATTTTCAGCAGAAGTGTTAAGAGAGAAGCTTGCAGGTGGTGACAGTGGTGTAAGTGGGGTAGAGATTGATTTGGGAGGTATAGGTGGTGGTGGTGGTGGTGGTGGGGTGCGGTGGTTGCGTGGAGAGAGCAACGGAGGGGTGCCAGGGGTGGAGGCAGGAAAGCCGTTACTGAGGCCACCGCCGCTACTGCTGCTTCCATCCACACCATCACCCATGAGCTGATCACACCCAATCATGGCAGGCGACGGACACTGTATAAAATTAGTTAAATGATGACCTATATACACACAGTCAAGCTTGTATGAAATAATATGTACACCTTCAATTCTACTATGGGTCTAATTAAGAATGGCTTTAACATACATCAGTCACAATACATAATTTGTGCATTAGCTAAATACTGGCATGTAAAAAACAATAATTCAATTAACCAATCACATACACAAAGCACTCCCCACTGTGGCTAATAATTCCTAATAAATTATTCAGACAAAATATTTATATTGTCTCCAATATTGAAACTTGCAGCACGTACCTTCTTACCCATCCTTTTGGGCAGTGCAGGTGGAGGTGCATACTCATCCCCACCAAGACTTACAGATCTAATTTGTCTCTCACCAACTGTGATGTAAAAAATCAGTATCACTATGAATAAATATAAAAATTTATAGTCTATCATGTTTAACTAAGAGTACAGTTTGAAAAGAAGGTAAAGTTTCCAAGTTATTAGGATAAACTTTAAAATTCAATAAAAGAAAATTAAAAAAAGTTTTCTGTTTTGTTTAAGTATTACAGTATATTCATATAAAGTACCAAGGAGCTATATACTGCACTTAACTCAGTTACTTCTCAATTTTATGCCTACCTCTAGGAGGCAGTGGAGGAAGTGACTCTTCAGAACCATGTGAATCACTCCACGACGTATTTAAACAGTCATGAATCCCAGAGCTTCTTGCTGTGCGGGGACTTGGAGGCCGTGAGTGCCGCCATCGTTGGCTTTCATCACTGAAAATAATGTTGAAATGCACCCACTTTTAATGTGAATTTTTTAAAAATCTTTCAAGTCGTTTCCTACTATGATGCATGGAAGTTGACATCAGTAGCATACACACACATACATTCTTCCCCCATTTACTGACATTTATTCATGCTTACTGCTGTAATAAATACATTCTACTGTGGTACTCCACTTTCCTGTTGCTTCACATAACTAATCATCTCCCATTAAGAGAATTTCATTCCCCTAAATTCCCTCTATGTCATGCTCTCTGCTAATTCACACATACAGTGGGGTATGCTATAACGAATCTAATTGGTTCTAGAACCTTGTTCGTTATAGCATTCGTTCGTTATAGGATTAATCCGTTCCAGGCCCCCAAATACACCCACTTAACACTGAAAAATATAACATAAAATTGTAAAAATTGTAAAAAAGTGCATAAATATGCATCTAAACCCCTGAAATAAAGAATATAATTAATATTTGTAATAAAAAACAATAAATTAGAAAAAAAAAATTAAATAATGTTCGTTGTAGGAGTTTCGTTCGTTATAGCATTCTCAATTTTATAGGTAAAACCGTTCGTTATAGGAATATTCGTAGTAGGATCCGTTCGTTATAGCATACCCCACTGTATTACTAATTTTTGTACCACATCCATTCCTTTAAACATGAACCTGCATGTACAATCAGGGTCAAAAGTTCACTCCCTCCAAAACTGAAGCAGTATCAACCACAAATGAAACTAAACAGCACAATGCACCAATGACAGAAAAGGGTAAGTAAGTTCAGAGACTCATTTCTGTGCCTCAGTTTCACCATGGGGAGCAAACTTTTGTTTAATATGAAAAATTGGACCTGCCACATTAAGCTAAAACTCACTCACAAATGACAGCAAAAATCCACAATTTCATACAAACTAACCTGGACTTTGGAGGAGGCACGATCATATAATCATTGTTGAGAGATTTTGAGAGGGATTTTGGAGACGAGCCTCGACTATCGGAGATGTAGGCTGAGCGGGGCCGAGACTCTCGCTGATTTCCCGATCCTGAATCCCATTCCTGTTGCAAATGTCAAATACTGTATTAACAAAAGTACATTATCAAACTTTCAATTCCATGATTTAGTCAATATTTTAAAATGTGATAAAATTAGCGGGCTAATATATCCATTCACAGTTCAACACTTCCTCACTCATTTAAGGTCTGTGACATAAAACCTCAAAATCTCAGTTTTGGTACAAGTATTGTGCTTAACTTGCCATCACTTTCCCATTCAGGCAATCTAATACTGTACTGTAGGGTATTTAGATTATTGTTTTCTTTTACCCTTACAACTATTATTCATCATAATATGTATTTAATGATCTTGTACAAATGTGTGACTTGATAATTACCGTAATGATCCATAAATGTTTGAAAAATTAATATAACCCTCATTTGATGAAAGCATATTTCATAATGTCCGAATAATTTTTATCGGTGTGCATTAAGAAAGTCAGTAGTCTTCTGGCAACCATATTACATACTTCATCTACCTGACTGTCACACCCAGCCCATCACCATCCAGGAGGTGTGAGCAACATCAGTCACCATGTGTTCTTCACAGTGCTAGGATTGTGCCATTCTGCTTCATGCATTCAGTGTTTCATTTTTGTGCTGTGTTTGTGCCTTCTATGTTTTAATTCTATGTGAAATAAATGGCTTCCATGCATCCTTTGCAGAACTTCTGGTAAGGATGCAGCTAATAAAAACACATTTAAACTTAAAAACTGCAAAATCCACCAGCCCACTGCACCACCATGGCTGGCTGCAACCCTGGAGGTTGAAACAGTGACAATCACCACTCATCTCTTGCTAAGCTAGGATAGTGTTGCTGTGCTCTATGCATTGTGTGTTTAATTGTTATGGCTTCCATGCTGTGTTTATGCCTTCTGAACACTTGTACTTTGTGTACCATAATGACTTCCAGTCACCCTATGTAGCCTTCTGGTGATGTTACAAATATGAAAATGTAAAATGGAAGATTGATTCTGAACTCTTTATTTTTCTACAGTTCATGCACAAACCAACTGGGGATTCTAAGCTAGTAGACACCATATCCAATTGGCTGCTGGGGCTGACCTCAAAATTACCCATTCCTCTCTGTTGCAATATTCTCCTGTAAGGGTTTGATTGGAAGCAAAGGGCACTCTTTAGAGACAGAAGGCCTAAAAAGTAGCAGTGTATATCTAGCTAGCACATACGTTTTGTAAGCTATAGATGATAATCTACAAACCCAAAAGAGGGGGAGGATGACTAAGCTGCCTAGCTTCAGCATTAACTAGAAAAGAGGATTTCAGGAACAATCTTCCAATTCTAGTTTAACACCCTCAGCCAGACAGTTACTGCTAACAAAAGCCAAAGAGAAAGTGGAAGGAGAAGGTACCAACAGTGCTTTATGGACTAGGCAGACAAACACTCAACAGGTGGCTTCTTAGCAGTGCAAGGAAGGCTAGGAACTAAAACTCTTACCTCTCTTGTACTATACAGTTCTTTGGTGTTATTCTGGAATTTCAGGGGAAAATGAGCAATTGGTATGCAGAGCTCCCAGGGTAATGAACATCACACATCCACTCAGAACAGACTCACAACCTAACCAAGCAGTAGCTACTTGCACCTAAAAACATTGGCCTTGGGCTCCCTACAGTCAGGAAAAAAAAGCTGTGCTTTTAATGTTCATAATTTAAAACTTAAAAATGTACAGTAAACATCTGTACATAAAAATGGTTTTAATAAATTAAAATGATTTTTCACCCCTTTGAGTGGCTGTATGTAGGGTTGGGAGCAGTGAAGGAGGATAGAGGCAGTGGCAGCCTCATTTGCTACTTTCTTTTGTTTATCCAATCAGACACCAACTACCAAATATAGCGACAAATTAATATGGTTTATTTGCTTTGGCAACAGTTTACTTGTCAATTAAATTCCTTTTTGTTCTCTACTCTTGCTTTCCCAACTTCTATTCTTAGGTTAAACTTTAGGCTTATTCCCTAGTTACTTACCTGAGGTTTGGCATACAACTCATCATCATGGGATGCAGAATGAAAGTGGGCATATAGTGAAGAAGATTGTGATGATCTCTGTGAGGAGTGACCAGACGTAGATGAAGAACTAGTACTAATTGCACCCTTGTCTGAGGGAAGTGGTGGCAGGGGTGAACTGAAATATAATAGAAATCATTTTATATCAACTGTTGCTTTTAGGTTAGTCAATTATATACAGTATGTGAGGCAGATGCCACAGTATCTCCAAATAAAACAAATAAGAAAGTAATAGATAGAAGCTGGGAAGTATGAAGATAGGAAAAGATGTGAGGCAATAAAAATCATTGAGAGCACAAGTTCAACAATAATAATTATGGGGAAAATACTGCAGTTGTGAAAAATGGCAAGCATGAAGATTACACCGACCTATGTAAAGCTCGAGAATAAGTGAACTTAATAAATAGGAAAAAAAAAAAAATTATAAATAAAATCTTAAATACCATTTATAATATCTGAGGCAATCAAATAATCTTATATTATATAAACCAGTATGAACATGATGCCCATCACATCAATAGTCATATTTTCAACATACTGTACATCTGGATACCATAATTCTACCAGGAAAACTTCTGAATGCGATATAATATGTTACCATTTGAGGTAGAAAAATCACATGACATTGTTAATTTTCACTTAAGGAAAAGTGATTCTCTGCTTAACCTAGCTGGCACTTGGCTACCCAACCCACCTTTCCCTACAAAAACAACTGCCCTAGGGGGCAAAGAGCAGAGTCCTCCTTCCCTTGCCCTGTGGTGACTAGTTAAGACCTATGCCCACAGGCAGACATGAAAGAAATGCAAGCAATTTAGGAAATATGTAATGACGTGAGCCCAGTGATGGGCTTCACTCAGTTACATACAAAGAACCTACTGCCATGGCCCTACACTCAAGTCTTAAGTTTTGGACCACTGATTCATCAATGCTACCTGATTTTTAGAGGTTGCAAGTAAGTCAGGAGATAACTTATTTTCAGCATTCAAGATTTTTACTGGATTTTTGGAACACTAAACAACCCAGTCATACAAATGATGGGGTCCTGGAAATGCTGGGGCATCAGCCTACATGGTCAATGAGGCAGTACAAGAGTTAACTGATCCATTACATTGTGATTAAGCTGGCTTGTATAATAAACGACCAGATAAAAAAAAAATACTGGATTATCCAAGAGCCAAACAGCTTATTCTTACTTTACAATTGAGCCTGTTCTTCTGAACTCTGTTGCAGGATCAGAATCTGCACGTCTATGAGTTGGAGGAGGTGGCGGTGTGGACTGCAGAGATGAAGTTGACCTTTGGGACTGGGGAGTTGAACACATCTTCCGCACCTTGTATCTCAGACCTTCAAACACCTGACAAATTCACAAAAATATCACTAAAAGAAGCCACATAATAAACAGAAACATGAGATGAGAGAGATGGAAAGGGCATGGTGGATTTGAAAAGTATCAAAGCAAAATAAGAAAAAGTAATAAAGGAGGAGGGGAGACTGGTTGTAAGTAAGCTTAAGAATGGTAAAACATCAAGAGTAGATAGAACAGTGACAGCTGCAATGACACCTAATCACAACGATTAGACTCAGCCACTAATGTTAGGTCTCCTTGGTAGACAAATAGAGAAACAACATGACGTGTATAAAATATGCGCAGTCCAAATGAATACGTTAGCAGCAATGTGGTCACTAAAGTAATTAAATGTTGTATGGAATAAAGCTGTATGTCTAAGGAGGGATGAGAATGGTATGGGCATGAAGAACATATGATGAATGACAGCTTGCTTCTATAAGGGGGGGGGGAAATCATTATATAGGATACAAAGTAAAACACAAGATATTTTGTTCTGAAGAGTATACCAAAGGACACATGAGAGGACCAATTCAAAATAACAAACAATGGAAATGAATGGAAAAACAAGAGTGAAAGGAGACGTGAATTTCAATGAGGGATAAAAGTAAATAAAAAGGATAAATATTACACAAATTTAAATTCACTTTGTTTCACTCTTCATGATCTGATGGTTATTAATGGGTGAATATGAGCTTCTTTGAGACCTGTTGCACCTCCACTACCCCATTAGTTAATAGTAGATGACAACCAACTAAAGAGTCTGCTTTTTCAGACATAAAACCTGATCAACTAATGCAGATGTCAGGGGTCACAGAACAGTTATTCTATTGTTAAGAAAAATAGGAATAAGCAACAGAGTAAATTCAAAGCTAAATACTACATTCCCTCCATTTCTCTTACATATTATGATTATTTTCAGTTAACTGCATACTCTATGACAGACAATTATTTTAAAGTTACCTCAACAAGTCGTCTGTGAAGTGGCTGGTTAACAGAGTGGGCAATTTTACCGTGAAGATCCAAGGCTCCCTCAAGTATCATTGTCTGTAAAACATCATAGTATATTAATAAACTAGAAAAAATAGAAAATAGCAAAACAAAATTACAGTATTACGAGAAAACAGAATTTCAGACTCAAAAAACCTAACAAAATAATATATTGCAAGAAAAGTTGTTAACTGTCAACAGGAAAGGTATAAAATGCATAGAAATTCGTCATGTTTTAGCATTTTATATGACATAATTATAAGGCCTGGAAGTGCCCCCTTTAGACATCTTGGTTCTAAAAGTTTTGAATGTGTGAGGTACTAACATATTTACTTACCTGATCAGAGAGAAGAACCTTGAGTCTGTTAACATGGTCAGCATTTTCAGGATACACAACTAAGTAATCCGGACCAAAGAATGCATCTTGGTATTTGGCAACACCTCCGTTAACAGCTGCATCTATTGTCCCTTGTAGTCTCATAGTAAATGGTTGGATGTTGTCCTGTATGGGTTACCAACAACCAAGAATTACTGAAGAGAAAACTTCATATACTGTATTTGCTATCTTAAATAAAAATATAATTAAGAATACAGTAAAGAAATGCGAGAATTTCTTACATTTTTCACCAGAGTTCATACAGTATTTAATAACAGTACTGGAATGCATATTTTATATTCATCTGTCTTAATTATCATATAATACCTAATGTATTCAAATAGAAAATTATATAAGATTAGGGATATGCAACACAGAATATCCTTACACAAGTTATAGAATATGACATAAATATAGTGAAAAATTAAACAGGGTCTCATGGATCAGACAGTGTGGTTAGCACACTGAACCCTAAACCTTCAGTACAGTTAGAGGCAATGTGACTGGCACTGCACCCAGCTATCTTTAGTTCCCAACTAGGGAGTCAAGTAAGGTAGCCATTTATAGCTACTTTGGGCACAAACCACTCAGTTGCCACACCCATATAAAAACGTAAAGTGAACCCTCACTTTACGCCGTTAATTCAACCCACAGGGTGCCGCGGAAAGTGAGAAACGCGTAAAGTGAACAACATAACATATGGGATTAATTGAAATAGAGACCGGGCCGACCCCCAAACTCCACTTTTTCAGACACAATACCTACGTTGTAGTAAAAATAACTTCTTAATTTTATGATGGTATGCACACACAATTAATAATTAAGAGAAATATCAATAATATTAGGTTTTTTAACACTTACATTAGTAGAAAAGATGGCTGGGCACACGGGGATGGGGGGGTTGGTTCCGAGGCAGAGGGCAGATTATTGGCCCTCACCTGTATCACTTGTATCAATTGTAACACTATCCACCACAGAGGCTTGCAGGGCCTCTTTGTCAAACCCCTCAAAGTCCATATAAGTCCATATCCTCACTATAATTATCACTATCACTGACTTTGGCCGGCTGTGGTGGGTGGCGGGTGAAGAATTCGGTAATGTTTTGATGACTGGGCGACCTTGTGCGCACCCTGCTCGCGCCGCTTACACAACATGGCGGATGGCGGGAGGTTTGGATCCAAAAATGGCACGGCTTGCCAGCTGCTTTCCGCGTAAAGGGGTACACGCACCGCGGAATGTGAGCATTCCGGTTTCGGCAGGGTACCGCGTAAACGTGGAAACGCTGAATGTGGGACCGCGTAAAGCGAGGGTTGACTGTATGTGTACAATAACATGTCAGATTCATAATCATAAAACTGGACACAAAAATAACAGTACCTGAGGATTTGCTCTGTAGTGGATGGTAATCTGTCTGATTTGCTTGTTGTTTCGCTCAACAGTTTCACAGGCGTATTGTGGAGGACACAACTGGTCTACTTTCTGGTCTACTACTTCAAACCACTTGAGAATTCCAGGTAATTCAAACTCTGTCGTGTAAGTAATTCTTTCTATCCACAAATTCTAGGAAAAAAGTACAAATTAATCAAAGCAAAAATATTACTTTAAATATGCCAATCATTATATTATTTGGATTTTGCAAATTTGGTAAGTGAGGTCATTATTTCAGTGACATATGTATACAAATACAAATAAAAGATGATTACATGAAGAAAAAAAAAATCCCCCATAATCATGTATTAACACTTACCTTAAACTCATTATCTTTATCTGCGGGACCACGGTACGTAGGTCTGTCATACACAAAGCGTCGGACCTGATTGTTGGAATAGTATTTCAAGATTCGTTCATCGACCTCTACACCATCAAACATTGGGTTGGGCTCCGATAAAGTATTCACAGCACATATCTGAAAACAATTATGGGAGGAATATTATTTATCTGCAATTGATATCCACTACAGTATATGCAACAGGATCGGCTTTCTACTATTTGTTCGTCTATATACTCATCAGTTTCACCTGACTCTACATTAACAATAGGAACTTTCCTCATAAGCAAGGCCACATGTATAAAATGGCCACATACAAGTACAGTATAGGTAATCACCCATAAACATTCTGCAACTTATCATCTCCACATCATAAAAAATAACTTGACAAATTATCTGAGGCCTTCTATAATGATACAATAAAGGAAGTTACCATGCATTTGCCCTAAGAAACCAGAATGTTTAAAAAGCATAACATCATACAACACCAAGGTCTCTCCTCATTCACACAAGCTGCTGTTTCCCTATGTCCATTCCTTCATTGACAGTACACCCTTCATCCTATCCTTCCTCTCCTTTTTGCTCGCTCTTCCCCTCTCCCGCCTACTGTCCACTTCTGAATTTACATATTTTTTGCAACCCTCTCACTTCTCAATCCCTCAATACATCCATATCAACCAAGCAGACCCTGATCCATTATGTTCATATTGCCATATCTCCTCCTACAGGGGGTCCCCATTATTACGAGTGGGTTCCGTTCCTGAGGACGTTCGTAAGTCGGAACACATGCTATATGCATACCGTACTAACAAAACAATGTTTAAAATCCCACTATATCATACCCTAAGTCCTTATATACATCTCAAATCACTTAATTTAATACAAAAAAGAAACAGAATGACAAAATACAGTAAATGAAAGTAAAAAATAAGTCATCAGGTAAATAAAATACTGCAAATTTAGAGTTTAACCCCGTTCGTATTGGCGGGCGTTCGTAAGTCGTGTGACCTGTATTTACACCATATATTGTTCCTGACCAGGGCCAGCCCTAGCCATTTAGGGGCCCCTCCAACCTTCAAACTTTCCTCTAAACCGCGAGCTGTAGGGTGACCCAGGGACATGCCCCCTAAAAAATTTGAAAATTTGGGGTGTTTGGGACAGCCTTTCCTGCTGTCTGAAAGCAGTTAATAGGAAAAACACTTTAATTTTACTTATATGAGCATGGCCCGGGAAACTCGACAAACATTGCAATGTATATCTCGTGGCGCAGCCATATAACAGTCGGGACTAGGGGACCTCCTTAGCGGTCGGTGCCCTACGCTCTGAGTGTATAGAGAGTATAGGAAGGGTTGGCCCTGCTCTTGAGCATATTATGTATGTTGCTTCTAATCTTCTCCTTCCTCTTGTATCAGGAGTCCATGCTCCACACACCCATATGATAATGCTGCCTCACTAATTCCCTAGATTTACCTATTATGATGCAGTTCTCTCTTTCTCTGATATTTCTCAGATTTAACTAGCATCAGGTTATAAAAAAAAATTCTGAAATATGAATATTCATTCACCATAAAATTCACATAAAAGATCTTACCTGAATGTACTGGCCGTCAGATGAACGTATTGTGTCATCCGGGGGTGTATTGTGAGACAACATCTTTGCTTGTGGAAACTCTGTCTGAATCCGCTGTGTGAAAGCCCCAATCTGCTCATACTCCAAGCCTCGGTAGATGAACAATTTATTCTGAAAAATAGTCATTCATAAAGTATTTCCATACAAAGCTTATGAATAGCTTAAAACAGCTTTATGAATAAATCTCTCTCTCTCCTTAATATTTTTTTCTCCCACTCCAGAAATCTTGAAAATTTTACCGTATATGGATTTATGACTTACTGCCCCTCTAAGTGTACTGACAGATCTAATTGGAATCTGGTTTACTGGATCCTAATAATGAAGAAATCCCTATTTGGACTCTATTCATGAAGATCAATTTTCCTAAGCTTGACAGTAAGTCTGCTTTAATGACAAAACTAATACTGAAGGACCCAGAGAAACAAAAGTCTCTTCTGGGTCTGTGGCTATGCCAAGCAAATTGCTTTGTCAAGCCTTCCCTATCTCACCCTTGGGGCCTTTGCCATTGGGATAACAATGCAGAGCCCAGGGCTATCCTAAGTGTCTGACATTCTATTGATTGATTGATTGATTGGGTAAAAATCTGGCATCGCAGCCTGTGGCCATTTGACACCAAAATGACATTCTATAGGTTGCTCAAATGACAAATACCACCCCCCTAAACCTCCCCACTAAGGAGAGGGAAGTCAATGGGAGACCTTGAAAGGCTAACTAATTCCTTCTACTGTATAACATTCTAGTCTCACCCATTACAATCTACATTCTATTATTCCATAATCACTGCCATTATGCTTTTAATCTTATCCTTTTTAATAAAACCACAACTTTCCATTTAGTGTATGAAGTCACACAAATTATCTGTAGCTATAGCAAAAGGTACAATATTATAACTATACAGCACAAGTACTACTAATACATATTTTGAAAAACAGCTTTACCAAATTTTTTGAAAATTGTTTTTAAATAATTTACTTAAATTTATATTTCAAGCTCAAAATGCTTGAAGAATAGTATAAGTTCTTTTTTCTTTATAATTTAATCTAAAGAGAATTACTGCCCTTAATAAATTGTAACTGATGATTACAGGTAGTATATCAACAAACTTCGATACAGTACTTACCCTGACAAACAATGGAAGCCCAAGGCCATAGAATCCAACTCGGAAGTACCTGTACAGGTATTCATTATCATAGTGTTTTCCACTTAGTATCTTCTCATAGAATGAAGCTTGCCTTCTCAAAACTTCACTGAGTTTCTGGTAATCAAATAAGTGTGTTCGATACTCATTAGCCAGTTCCTCTAAGAGTGGAATGCCTTGTTCCCAGCACTGAAAGACAAAGACTTGTATAATCCTAAGCTTACAGGAAATGAAGCAATAAGTCTATTATTCAATTAAATAGTTCATCAATAGGAGATATACAATAAAATTTAGCAGTATCTTTTTGAGGAACTCAAAACCCGGCATAAGGGTATTAATAATACTGAAGGATGGTTGATGAATGACTGCGATTTTTTTATTTTTTCTATCTTTCAAGCCTTTTCCCGCTTAATGCTTGGTGGTCACAAACAAGTGTTAACACACACAAACATATATTTTACCTTCATTCATTATCATTCATTAATTTTCACAGCACAGCAAAACATGTGTTCTGCCTTGGTGCCCCTTTCCACAAGAAGGCCCCAAATATGGTTTACCCCTGTTGCTTCAAACAAACCAACATCAACCATATGCAGCACAGTTTTATCAACTGACACTGTAGTTCTTTTATATAATATGACATCACCTTACCTTGCCTTTGTCAAAGTTATCAATTATTTTCATGTAAATCTGCTCTTTTCTCCGAGTTTCTGTTTGTGCGGGATACAGATGATCAGCATGTAGCATCCGTTGTGTCCAAGCTAACTGATTTGCATGAAGCTGAAGGGTAAATGCTGCTTCTGTGAAGTTTCCTGCTGGGACATGTAGGTCATGTAACTTGTAAATATAGCGAATGTACATTTCTTGCCGGTTGATCTCATTTTTGTAGAAATTCTGAAAATTAAACATTGTCATGGCATTAACCTGTGAAATTATAAGTCAAGGCTAAAATAATCAGTAGACCATATGTCCTTTCAGAGATGATCAAGTGAAACTGTTTCTGAAGCTACAGACCAGGTAAGCACCATCAGTCGAAAAGAATAAAATTACACGTAACAGAAATAGGAACCCAGAACCTTCAACTCCACAACCATAAAGCCGAAGTGAAACATCACTGAATCTGCAACTAACCTATCCTCTTAACCCCGTCATCATGGGATGCCACTGTTAATATTTCATTTGGCTAACACCACACAATTCAGCACAAGAACCCCCTCCCTTTTTTTTTACCATGGGACACCACTTTTAATATTTTATTTGGCTAATACCAAATAATTTTATTCAGCAAGTGGTTAACCCATCAATTGCAAGTGTACCCTCAGTATGGCATTTTTGTCACATACTGTACTCTGTACTGTGCACTAGTAACAGAAATATTCAGTTACAGTGCTAAACAATAATTTTAAGTTACAACCTTCATCCAGAACAATGTATTTAGTCTCTTACTCTCCATATGCATATCTCTACAAAATACACCACTATGACTCTCTTTCCTCCAGCAATAAGGAACTTTTTGTCCAATGACACATATCACTCAAACTTTTTATACTTTGCTTTCTTTGCCCTAAGTCCAAGATGCATTTCTTAAAATTTATCTCAATCATTCTCCCTTCTTTGATTATTTTTGTGGTAAACTTCATTGTAGTTACAACTCCAACATAAAGATTACACACTTAATCATTTACAAACATAAAACACAATTAATATTTCACTGCTACAAAATGAATTCTTACTTACCAGAAGGTTAACTGTACAGCTCATTCTCTTGTCACAGTTCTCATCACCTTGCATAACATTGCGGTAGTCTAATAATCTCTCCAAAAGACGAGTCACCGAGTTGATGAACGCTGTGCCGCTCTCTCTCCAAACGGGGTCATTGGAGCGAACTCTCTCCAGCAAACTGTTTCAATTATAAAACAAATACATAGAAACATGATGTTACCTTGTATAACATTCCCCAGAAGTAGTAGAATGGCTGATAAGTGTATAGTGTATATATAATGTATACAGTATCACTTAATTTTGGGATATTTGCAACATCTAACAATTCAATTACAATCTGCTTTTTTATAGATAAACAAAACACAAAATACTGTATATATGGGATTATCAACAGTAAAAATTTCAGTGACTACACCCCAAATGTTATAACACATAGTGAATGGATCACCTCCTCTTAATATAATGCCTTTAGACCAGAGATACAGTAAACCTCTCTTAGTTTATAATAGTTGATTATCTAGTGTATGATCTAACTTAAGCTATGCCCTTACAGAACTTATCTAGTTGAAGTAGAGTCACAAAGTACTGTATACATCAAAAACTTGTAATGTGTTCAGATTCATTAAAATGTTCAGAGCCATCACAGCATTCTAAACCTGATCTAAGAGTGACGTATACGAACATGAATACTTTTCTTAGTGAGAAGAGCAGAGTTTGAAAGCCAAATTAAAACTATCAGCTTGATACAGTAAGTGATGTGGAACTGTTGTGTAAAGACAGGAGACTCAATCCAGGTGCATGGTAATCTACATTAACGGCTATGATTCATTTACTGTACAAACCTGTCCGAGGCAATATGTACTGTAAGTGCGGCAAAATGATCTATTCTAAAAAGGATCTGCCTGTTTAAACATTATAAAGGATGTTTAGGAAATAAATTTCATAATTCAGGGGGTGTGTTCCCAAGACATACATGAGGATAAATGACTCCATGATCTTAGTGTCAATACCCCATTGTTTTGGAGTTATACCACATAATTGGGTAGGCGAGGATGGCAACAAGTCTATGGATATACTGTAATACATAAAATAGCATATGATTGTAAATATATTGTACTGTACTAGCAACACTGGATATTTTATTTACACTCCGTAGACTTTATCACATTCCAACCCAACTGTTATGAGTTATAACTCCTAAAATACTGTATAGTGTACAGTACACTATGGTCATGAAGTCATTTATAATAATGTATGTCTCAGGAATACACCCCCAGAATTATGAAACATATTTCTGAAACATCCTGTATAACATAGATTATTACTACAGTACAGTGCTTCAGTAAGATCTAGACCAAAACATGCAAAAGGATAAGAACATTAACTCCCAACTTACACAGCACTTAAATGCTCCCTAGGAGATTATGCATGAAAAACAGAGAAAAATTACTATAAACATGGAAAAAGAGCAAATATGAACTAATATGAAATTGGTAAAAACTTTATATCTTTTTAATACAATCTTGATTCCCATTAATGAGTGCAGTGAGTTATGTATACAGTGGAAACCGGCTGGAGCGTTAAGATTGTAATCGTGAGTGAATAAACTACAGCAATTTCATAGAAGTCATTATTTTTCTTTGACCACAGCACAATTAGATTTATTTTGAGTGAAAGAGGAGGTCTCTAAGGGAGAGCGAATGTCACCCCGTGCTTTCTTTTATCTTTAGAAATAATACAGAAAAATAGATGACATTTTTATAGGAAATGAAATATGGAATAAAATTGTGTATAAACATATGAAAAAAAAATGCTAAATGAGTCTGTAACTGATCACTTAAATGCCAGTGGTAACTTTCTCAGTAAAACAGTATTTAAATCTCTCTGTGGGCCTAGGATGCAAATGTGTGTGTTTTCTTTTTAGGCCTACACCTCCTGCATAATACCAACATAATAAAATGTCAAGAAACTTCCACAAGTAGATGAACAGATGTGTTTGTTAATTCAATGTGTTTTTTTTATACAGTTATCCTCAAACAACTTTACAATATTCTGGCAGCCACACCTCCCAAAAGAAAACACTAAACCAAAAATGAAAAAAAAAAAATAGAGAAAGAAAGGGAAGGAGAAACAGATTGCTCTTGAACTAAACCAATTTTTACTATTTAATTGTTAAAATACTTGAGCACAGCTGTCATTATGAGGGGTACAGAAGCCTAACACCCTGAACCAACCAGTTCCCACTGTATACAGTGGCAGTATATAGAGATACTGTATATATAAGTTTATTATGAAATACATCCCAGAATGTTGTGTTAGACTTATGGCATAACAGGGTAAGGGATAGAATTACAAGGGAACCATAGATATTTTACAAAAAAAAGGAAAGAGGTAATGGGAATATGATTAATTCAACAACTGTGGAATCAAAAAGATATCAAGGGTATTACAGTTGTATTTCAGTAGATGTTGCATGTTAAATTTTTTAAATAATGTCACTAATACTTTCTGACAACAAAGTATCATACAATATCTATCACAAAGCTAAATTTAAGCTGATTAATATTCATTTTCAAAGTTTATAAGACTTAAGAATTCTAAATTTAAGAAACTCTCCTACAGTCATGGAACACCTACCAAAAGTAACCAACATACAACCATCCTGAACCGGCAGGAGGTAATGTATATAAACAGAAAGCCAAGATGATTTACTTAAGTTTTATGGGAAAATAATTAAATTTTGGGAAAACTAATATACATTCAATTCATACGTGAGTCAGCTGCTGTTGCCCCTCTACAATTATTCTTCTACAATTTTGTTTCCTTTCTCACTTCCTTTCCATTAGCTGCGTGTGTATAACATGAGGTCCCATTATTTCATATTTTCATTTATTTATTCTATATTTTTTTTTCATATTATGTGTGTATGTGTGGGTGGACGTGTCTGTGTTACTTAAAACAAAACTGAGCAGCACCAACACTCACATGGTGTTAAACAGTTGACGGTACTCATCATCACCCTTGTTTTCACTGACTAGGATGTCCAGCTTATCTATCAATTCTGTTTCAACCTGTAAAACATAAAGTGAGTTCTAAAACCTCAACCCTTAACACACATATGGATTAATATGTATCAACACTTGAAAATAGGCCTTAGCATACAAGAATTTTTTATCTTCATTGAAAATCCATGGAAGAAAAAGTAGAAAAAAAGAGAAAATTATAATACCAGCTATAAATTTTTGTCATAATATATTTTAAACTGGCTTTTTTCAGAGTTGAATGTTTTTTCCTTCTATGATGCTGGGAAGGTGACTTGATAGAAGAGTAAAGAGAGAATATCCATTTATTTGCTGTCATTCAATTTTACTCTCATAACAGATGTGTTCTGCCATAGTGTTCATCTTCAACATCAAGGCCCTAAGATGTCCTTCTGGTTCATATCAATTGCTTCACACAACCCAGCATCACCCAGCTTTCATAGCTGATAAACACTGAGAGGTCTCCTCAGGAAGAAGTTTAACATACTTGTTGACAACACAATTCAGCATTATGTGTTAACCCTTAACATGAGTTGAGTAACAAAAACCTAACTTGAATGTAAAACAAATTCCCAGAACTGCAACCTCAGTGTGAGTCATTCTAAAACATATCATAGGCTTATTGTTATCCTGCATAGGTGCTAGCCAATTTTACATGACCTGCATGGAGCAAGGTCTGGTCTCACAAATAAAGTAATGCAAAAAATATAACCTGAGGTACAGTGTTTGTGATATAAATGATCACAAACTTCAGTGCAAAGACAGACCCAAGCTCACCATCCAAATAGACTCGCAAGTAATGGAATATGTATAAAAACCTTACAATTTGATCAAGGCAAAGTGGAAACCGGCTTTACTAAAATGATAACACCTATACCTGTCAATAACCAGTTGACAAATCCCAGAGATTCCAAAATTATGGTCAATGCAGTACTTAGCTTGCATATAAAAACAAACTACACTGAAAATTTCATTAATACTGTAGTACCTGTTTAAAGCTACCCTTTGCCTGCTGCTCTGCCTGCATCATATCAAAAAAGATAGGCAGAGTGGCCTTCCGAAGCTCTGGTTCAGGTACCAGAGTCACTTCAAGAAATGGGCCCACCATCCCTGGGATGAAATGCAGACGATGATCATCTGAAAGTAACATGAAAAGTGGGCATTAGAAACAGTGGGTCCCAACCTTTTCAACAATAACTCAGGGAATCAAAACTAGGGACACAGTGCAAGTGCATAAAATTTATGCACATGCAAAAAGAACACTCCAAAAGTTAATTCAAAACTCAGTGGGACGGCTGAAATTGCATTTTTTGCTACCAACTGGGGTATTTAAATTGTATTATTGATAAGCAGCATTAGTTCATATGGTTTAAACTCTGGCACTCTGCTATATCAGAAAAGTGCCAGCTTGGATGAGTAGTTAACTTGGTACTGTATAGGGGTATTTGGAAAAGTACTTTTAAAGAAAAGACAAAAAGACCAATACTGTAGCACATTCTCAGTTAATTGACACTCACCTAATTCACGCCACATAGAGAGAATCTGGAACCCCATCAGAACTCTCATGTCATTATAACGTTCCAACACCTTGTGTCTCTTTTGTTGTGAGAAACGTTCTAATTGTAAGCAAGGCTGAGTTAAAAATCCCACTGCGAGATTCAGGTAACTGCTCCAGAGCTGAAAACCCCAAAATAAAGACTCATTACTTAATCATGTTAAAAATATAAATAAAATAAATAAATAAATAATATGCTTGCATTTTTATTGTTGAAAAAACTGCTGAGAAGATTGAGCACTGCTTTATCTTTATCTCTTATGACTCTAACTACACTGTATAAGACACTATATTTTGTGAGGGAGTCTCATTCAATGGGTGCACATGAACAAAGGGTTCATAAACAATTCTAGATGACCAAACTGCTCACAAAGAATGATCTAATCCAACATTATAATCAACTAACAGATTAACAGATCCCTTGCATGTTTTCTCTTGTCTTTTTTTTAATGGAACACTGCAAGCAGAATTGAGAAAGGCTATTGTGACCAATAAAACAATATGAGTGCCATAGAAAAAGGCAGCTTCATGAAGTAATTATGATCAGAGATGATACAAACATGTATACTATAGATTATCAACCATGTTCACAATCGATATATGAAGCCACACAAAACTATTTATCAAACATCTCAATTAATCAATAAAATGTGTTACTAACCTGGTTGTCAAATCTTCCTTGCTTAAGAAAAATAGAAATTAGTGGCTGTGCAATCTCTTGCATCGCTGCTAAAATGGTGTAGTTGGTAACCATGCGCATGACAAACCAGTCACTGGCAAATATTGCTGCTCTTACAAGGTCAGCAAGTAAGAGAATTATTGAATGAAGAAGACGTCGTAAATGGTTGGTTCCTGAGGTCATGTGAGCTTCCCACAATTTTGAGTAATGGAACTCTCCCATCAGTTGTAAGATGCCCATCAAACATGCCACAAGTGTCCCCTGTGAAAATAAACATGATAAAATATCCCGTATATACACAATTTTCACAATTATTTAATCATAAAAATTATCATTAACCTCTATTTCTCTATTTTTGGTTAACTATCAAGTAAATGAATTAGGTTCAGCTTTAGCACCGAGATAAAGCTACAATAAGAACTAAAAATCAATAGTATGATGTGTATGCAACTCATTCACAAGTAACAATGATCTCTCTCACACACACATGCATACACCCACACCCACACACACACACACCGATAAAACAAAAATGTGCAGAAGGGATAAAACAAGACATTCAGAAAAGGGAATCTGAAGAGAAAAAAAGAAAAACAAAGGATAATAGAATAGAATAATTACCACATAGAGATGAAGTAAATGTGGCTAAAGGTAAGAAACATCAGTGTGAGACGAGGCACAGTACTGCATTGGTAACACAGTCGTCCCTCGCTAGTGTCAAAAGATGGCTTCCTCAAGAAACACAGTAGTACCGTATTAGCAATATCAACATTTGTGAATTATTTTTCAATGGTACATAAGGGGATGCATTCTAAAACCTCCACCAGATCCCCTACTGTCCACATACAAACATACAAAGAGTAATAGATAATCACATTCTGGACAAATTTATGTAAAGCACAGTTAGCACTGGATTAAATGCCATTACCAGTCTGTACACTCGGTAAAAAACTCCTGTTACAATTATTGTGCAAAACAAAATGACACCACGAATGAACTTTTTTTTATAAAGGCCCATGAGGCATACTGTTACTCATCAATCATATTACAACAAATTAATTTTATATTTTGAGTGAATAAATAAATTAGGCATACCATAATAAGTAGAAAATGTCTCACAATCATGCCTACCAACCCTAGCGAGGCAACAGGATTGAAAGATACTTTTTTTACTGAGTGTACACAATGTACTTTTTATGTACACCTCAAAACCATATTTCTCCCCAGGTTAACTATGCAGGCTATGTCAGTACATACCAGTAAGTGTCTAAATGAAGAATGTGGTTGCAATACTAAATAAAGCACTTGTACTGTATTTTATATCTAAATACTGTATCTTAATCTGGTGAGTTTGCTCTGAAAATGGTAATTCAAAGAACAAATTACTATTTTCCAGATAAAAAATGTGCTGGAGGGGATATCAGTGTGCATATATTACATAAGCTCTGGTGCGGTTGTACACTACATGTGTATGACAAACAAAACACTCAGATTACCAAACAGTATAGATTTATAGTGTTTCAATATCTGAATATCTGATGGGTTAATATTAAAAATATATAATTTATACAATATATTACAGTAATATTGTTCTTTATACAGATGTTCAGGGGGGAATAATAGTGAGTGAACAGTACATAAGCTAAGTGGTGAGGGTGTACAAATACTGTATGCTTATCTAACAAACACAATTGGATTACCAAATATTGTATACATTTATACCTAAACAGCCTTAGGACATTTTCATTGATTGGTATTGACAAAAATATAGTTGCCACTGTAGCTGGAGTAAGATTTTCTGTTAAAAGTTTTTCTTCCACTTCAAATCACCTCACTTTGAGGTCCAAATCCAATGATATTGCTTTTCATTCCCTTGTGGCATATTTCCTATAAATTCCAGTTAAAGATCTTTTCTAAACATGTTGCCCTTTCAATAATGAGTGAAACACAGGAATAAGTTACTAGAACAATACCATACCACTTGTGACTGTGTAAACAGAATGTGAACAAACCCACAACATAAAAGACTAATGTAAACAAAGTATGAAAAGACTTAAAGTAGAGCCAGTGATGTGTGGTATGAAATGAACTTTTGAAAAATTATTTATTGAATTCAGTATTTTTACTACTGTATGTATTTTTTGGACCTCCACTCCTAGCTCATGACTTTTCCAATTTCTTTCCCAATTGTTTGTGTGCAAATCATCCGAGGTATTTAAAAAGTTTTGGTGTCAGAAAGTAAATAATTCACCTGATAATTTACAGTTAAAGATGCCTGCATTTGCGAGGAACGACTGGTACAGTGAAACACTAACATAATGTGGTGCCTTGGGGTCTATAGAAATCTACTGTGTTATAAGTGAAACTACACAGCTGGTGGGCAATATTAATTTTAGTTGACATATTGGATTGGTTAAATTTGTAAATAAATAAAAGTATTGTGGGAGATAAAAACAATTACAAAAAATACATTTACAAATTAAGTTAATTTACTTTCATGTTGAAGTCCTTTGCAATATTTCATGATCTTATATTACTTAGTTTGCTTTATCAATATATTTCTAGTGTTCGGTGTATTTAAATGAAAAGCCTGGGAAGTGATGGAGATTCTGTGCCCCTCTTTTCACCTACGTATACTTTATTAACAACTAAAGGCCAAATGGACTCATAACTGTGCCATTTTTAGCTGCTTATTTACACCTCCAAATTGAAGACTATAGTTGCACGTTTAGCCTAATGATAGGATTTTAGGACCAATCCTTTGTTTAATTTTTCTTGGCTTCTGAAGTGGTTCTGTGAGTGACTCTTATAGGTAATACCAAAGAAAAACTGAATACATTACTGTACTGTATAGGAAGCAATGCTGAGTTAAAAGCTAGTGGCAAAGGTATTTCAACAGGAATATGATCTGAGTTAAAGCATTTATGAAAATATTACTCAAGACAAAGGGAAGCAGAACGGTGGCACTTCCTCTTCAAGGGAGTGTTCCACAATAGTAAGTGCAGTACTAAAGTAGTAACAGCAACAGGTGGCCAAGCACTTCACAATGTTTGAGGGAGGCTTCATTGCCAGTGAAGGTTGGGTGTACCACTTTAGGTAGTGACAAGGCCTCCACAACAGGAAAATAAGTGCATGGGATGAGATGAGAAGCCTTGTGTCAGTTAACAGATCCTTACATGGATCACTCTTCAAGTTTAGCCTTTCCCCACAATTAATCCAATATTGCAAGGATTTACTCTATGGTCTAGAAAAAGAGTAAAAACTCCAAGAAATGGTAAAAGACACAGCTGTTGAACCAAACTGATTTTCCCATCTAACTGTAAGACACAGTCACTTTGATAATCCACACAATTGATGATGGTGGTGATGATGATGACATCAGTTGTATCCTGAAGGGTACAGGAAATAACCTCAACATCCACTTGGTTTCCTTTGTATTAGATGAGAGATTTTAAACATTTAAATTTAATTTGAAGATGTTTCAAATAATCAGGAGGCTCCTTGGAATTTGTATTTTCAGATTTTTTTATCTTAAATTCAAATTGATGAAGTTACACTACATATCCGATTCACTGATGAAGAAATCCTATAAATAAATTTTCTTTGTTTTACCAAACCTATTTATTTTCCATTGCATATGTTGTTAAATACTTCTAATAAATGGAGTTAAAGGCATAAAAATTCCAAAGAATACAATGTTTGGAGATGAGGGAGTAAAGAAACACACTTCTGAATTACTGCTTGTTAGATTGTAAATCAATAAACCTAAGTCAGTTATCATGCTGTACAAAAATATAAAGTACTGTACTCCACACATTGAACTTTTACCTGTATGATGATGACTAAGAGTGTTGCTACTCAGTCATCATCATTATTCTTACAAACACTGACTTTATGGCTAGTGTTAATGACATGCCAAGCCAACCTATTCTTTTGCTGTTATCCATAAATGCGCTACCAAATAACATAAAGAGGATGTATTTTAGTCAAGCTCAAGAGCTCAACAGGTAAATGGTAATTCTAAAATAGTTAATATCACTACACTTTGGCATTCAAACTGGTAGAAGATTGAAAAAATACCCGAATGTCCTCCTGCAAGGAAGGAGTCATAGAGAGACTGCCCAGCACTAGTGAGGCATGAGTGGGAACAAATTTGTTCTTCAAGGCCATTAGAAGCTGCGTCAGATCCATCACATCGGGTATTAATGTACTGCTGCCCTACAAAAAGGCATTAACTAGTATGAAGTGGGTTAACCTTTTCTAATTGGGGTTTAAATCATCATAGATGGCACTGTACACATGTACCTGTATTAAGAAGAAATTACATAACTGTACAGCAGAACCTCTCAAGTGTGCCGACTCTTGGGATCAAGAGTGTCGCGAACTTAATGAATTTATGAACTAACAAGTGACTTGTGGATGTACAGGTAATGGACCTTGAGACCATGAACACCTACACTGTATCAGGTATAGGCAACATGTACATATAGGCTACATGGCAACAAACACAAATTATCACATACAGTATTTAAAGCAGTTTATGGTACGAACATGTTTCAAGTGATCCTAAGAGTTCGTATACAGGCATATACAGCATCAAAAAGATGGAGAACAAAGTACAGTAGCTACAGCATAATCTACACTAATTGTTCAAAGAGCTGGACCACTGCACAGAAAAAGATAGAGATGTGAATGTACAGGTATAAATGCCAACATCCATAATATACCTATTAAAAGGAAAATCTGGTACTTATTGGTACATTTAAACTGGTAGAGAAGGTGGGAACCATATTTGAATGTGAAAAATGCTGAGAAAATGTTCATAAATCGCATCTGGTGAGGCTTCAAGAGTTAAATGTCTATCAAGAGCCTACAGTGTCTTTCATTTCATACATCTTTCAGTTTTTGACCGTGAATTTTTTTTCCATTATCTGGTAAAAATATGTTCAAGTTTAATCACATGAAAAATGTGGTTGTGTGTCAAATGCTGCTTCTCATGTCTCACCATATGTTGATCAGCTGCTGCCTCACATTCACTGTTATTTATGTATAATTTATAACACTCGTTTATTATAGATAAAAGAAGATACCTTTACAGTACCTATATTTTGTACTGTTCAGACTCTTGTGATACTAAAAAAAAATAAAAATAAGATATCAGTACTCGACATTAAGTGGTTTTATATGCATCCCTATTTCACATTACAAATATGAGTTAAACAATTCATTAATGAAATTTTTATTATCTTTAACTTTGTTGAAAAATGAAAATTAATGTATTTTTAGGAAATTGTAATGTAAGTCAATTCTTAAGAGAAAGAAATGCAAACTAAGGTGTTCTGTGAGTTTTCAATCAACAAACTTGAGAGATTCAGCTGTATGATCATATTTTAGTTACAGATTAAGGACTTAAACTTTACTTGATACTGCCTAATATTAGGCTATCAAGAGTAATATCATAAAGTCTTATACCATTACTGTCTGCGAACAGTGTACAGTATTGCCAATAAAATAAAATTAATTTGCAGGAAATTCTGCTGAGAAAAATAAATAATGTACCGGGTAAGTTGATTCTGAAGAATTCTAAAGACAAACAGAAATAAACAATTAAAAAAAAAAACAATTAGGTAACCCTGAAATCTCTTTTCTGACAGAGTCTGGATCCAGGAGGCCTCATAACACAGAGCCGATTACAGTGCCAGCCAGGATGAATCTGTTCATCCACTTTGGACACACTAATCACCCTTCCCTCCTCATCACACTATCAACTTCCATCAGCACACAACATGTTGAAGCTATTGCCTATCATCTTTGAATAAAGGCCAATTAGCCATTTTCTCATTCAGTTCCAGCCCTACAAATAAAAAAATTCTGGTGTCCAAAGGAGCTCAACATTTAGCTTTTGTAAAACATAAGCAGATTAGGGAAGTCTGTCGACTGTGACTGTCGTCCCAGACTCTCAACCAAGAACTTAAATACAAAAGGGCAGATTGGCCTGTAATCAAAGATGGTGGACGGTAGCCTTAGTCTGTTGTGTGTCGACTGGGCAAACACAGCTTTAATAAGACCATCAGCCTTTAGGGGCAGCCATTGTGCCAAGGCCCCCCCACATCTCATAAGAATGGAAAGGTAAATAGTATATCCAAAATATGATAAAAGATTAAACCTGGCTGGTAGGATGGAGGGCTTGTTTAAGGACATAGACCCCACCATAACCAGCCACATATTATAAGTGCCACATGGTGTAGTGAAAACCAGAAAAGTGATGACTCAGGGCAAGAAGAGGACTCAATACAGTACATACATAAATCTTTTAGTTACAGAACTTTAAGTTTGTAAGATTACCAAAACAACTAAACAAATACATTCAATATACAGTATATAAAAGGAATATGTTATAAAACTAGGAGTTATTGAAGGAAGTGAGAACTATGGTGTTTCTCATCAAAAAGAAGAAAAAAGAAAGAATGTTACTGTTAATTTTCATGTACAGTAATGGCACCTGAAGTTTTGGATTATAATATTTAGGAAAATCTGGAGGAATTACATCGGATAATACAAGAAGGAAGATTGTGGATAATGTATGGTGGAATCTACTTCATCTGTCTGGTGAACTCAATATGTGCAGTCAATTGATATGAAGAACTGTACTTAGTGTGATGGTTAGGGATTAAATTTGTGTACTGTATTTCTCCTTCAAGATAATAATAAGAAATGTGCGCGCGTGTGTGTGTGTGTGTGTGTGTGTGTGTGTGTGTGTGTGTGTGTGTGTGTGTGTGACTTCTACTTGTTATTTCAGCCATTTCCTGTTACTTTCTATACTCATCTTTCTCATCTCTCCCCTTCCATCCCAAACAACTGGGAAAAGGAGGAGAGATGACATAGACACAGAAATTTTTAGATATTAGCAAATGGGACACAAAGCAAAAAATAAATAAAATAAGCACTACTGTCTATATGTCACCCTGGTGTTTCCTTTATGAAAAACAGATTACCAAGTACTAAATTTCAATTTAATTTCATATATGATTAATCTTAAAATCCATAACAACATAAAACTAAGTATTGTATTATTGTAGGTATTTTTTCCCCTCTGTTCAACTCTCTGTCCATTAAATAGTCTGTGTCTGTCCCATAGTAGCTTCCTTTACCACTGAACTCTTACAAATTGATGGTACGACGACAATTCATTTCCATCTGTATGGTGGGTGTTCAGTTTCTTTATCAAATTGTCTGTTTTAATATCCTCAATAACCAAATCTTTCAAATTATGTACCTTTGAGTCGCTTGGCACCATTATGAGGTGTCTGTGAGTCAGTATGCATCATTATGAGCACCTGCGAGTCACTTATTATTATTATTGGCACTTACGAGGCACTTGATGTCATTATGAGTCACCTGGGGTGATGATGCACACAATACTTTACTAAGCAGTCATGTGGGGTCATCATTGTAAGCACTCAGCATCATTATGAGCACCTGTGATACAGTTTGGGTAAATAAGAGCACCTGTGAGTCAACTGGCATTATTATGAGTACTGGTAAGTCATCTAGCATAATTATGAGCACTCAGGATCATAATCAGCAACTGTGAGTCATCTGCCATCATTATGAGCACAAACTACAGTAATAAAATTATAACCACCTAGTGTCATTACAAGGGCCTGTTATTCATGAGGGGTCACTGGAGTTAATAAGAAAATCTGTGGGTGTGTGAGAGGCAGTGGGATATCCAGATGCCTTGAGTAGCAGGTGAGTTAATAAGTGTTGAAGAGGTCCATAAATACAGGAAGAATTCAGCCAAGAGTGCCAGTACGGCTTCTTTTTTTTTTTTTTTTTTTTTTAAGAATTCCCTCTGCAACCTTGACCTTATACCTGATGATTACCAAAATCAATAGGTTCTGTATATGGAATTTTACAGAAATGCCCAAAGTAGAATTGAAGTTATCTATTGGGACAAGGTTGTACCCACAGGTAAATAAATAGATGAACAGGTGGGTGGATGAAAAGCACAAATAACTATATCACCCCCTAGATGCCTCTTTGGATAGGGGTGATAAAAATTGTTCTCAGTAATAAAGAAAAAGTTGGAAAACTGTACTTACTGAGCTGGGTGCAGATCTTTCCAGGGTTAAGATGACTTGAACAACAACATCAAAGAGTGTGAGCATTATCATTTCAACATCCTGGTGTAAGGTTGGAGGTAGCTAAAAATAAGGAATAATAAAAACTTTTAAGATTTACCTCTAATCTCCTTTTAAGTACGATTTTTTAATTTTGTATTACTTTTCTTCAATAATTTATTCCATTCTATACAAATACCAACATAAATTTTATTACTGTACTTAAAAATACAACAAGATTTTCCTTTTCTTTCACACCTTTAAACCCCTTCCCACTGAAATGTAGAATGACTGGAATCAACAACAAATACTCACACAGACTAGACCTTCTATAACTGTTATTCATTCATACTTCCTGCTGTGAAATATGTGTTCTCTTAAGGGAGTTACTTGCTTTCTAAAACAAAACCTCAAGTATATATCTGGTTTACCTGTCACTTCCCTCAAGCAAGCATCACCCATCAGAAACATGTCTTCTCCCAAACATTACTCAATGCCAGGTTCTCCTATCATCCCTGCATATAGCTACTGTATGTCCTGGATGTCCATACCCCTATTACCTAGTTACCTTTCTCATCTCATCCTTAAACCCTCTTAGTCCTACCATCCACTTTTTAACTAAATTCTCTTCTTACCAATATTTCAATCCCCATTCTCTTATTATGGCCACATCACTTTAGCAAAGGCTGATCAGCTCCTGTTAAATACTACTTTCACTTCCACTTTTTATTTTTGTGTTCTGTATTCTTTACAGCCTATTCATCTCACATATTGCTTTATAGCACTTATACCAATCACTTCTAATTTACTTCTTCCTCTTGCATTCAGTCGATGTTTACTCCTATATATTAATGTTGACTCCTCTAATCCCCAACACATCTCCATTTGTCATTCAACAACACTACCACTCCTTTCACTCTTATCAATAAGAAATATAACTTACCTTACTGGGAGAATACTTCTTGATGTGCTTGTGAGTGAGAATAACAATGTCTGAGAGAACTTCCCCACATAACACCAGTTCCAGGCGGCTATCCATGTGTTGCCTTAGATGTGTACATATTGTTTCCAAGAGTAACCCTCGACCCTCTGAAAATTATATAAAAAATTGGCCATAATAATAATAATAATAATAATGTAAAAATAACAATAACAATAATATCAGCCTATAAGATACAGTGTCTCGAGAATAAAGCAAATGGAACTATTTATTTGATGGCAATATTCATAAGGTGGTTTTGCCAATTAGAAAATGTTATTTCATTGTGTCAACTAAGGAACTAGGGTGTCATTCTAAATTATTGCACATAAATTATGATGATGACAGACTTCTGTAAAGTTGATCACTATAAAAAGCAGTGTTTGAGTCATTACATACTGTACATGGCATGGGGTTAAACAGTTGTGTGGCAAAAGAGCAACAGACACCAAGGCTTTCACTTGATTGATGATACAATCCTGAAAATGATTTTGGGTCTTGAAGAAGAGGGAGATTATGATAATGATCATGAGGAAATGAACAGCCTTTTAAGTGATGTTCCAAGCTCTAGGAACCTTATGAAATCTGTGATGTTCAGTGGATTGAAAAACATGATATGGATCCACAAGATGAATAGCTTCTTATTCTGTGGTTAACATGATGACAAGATGCCAAATACCGGGAAACAAAATGGAGAAAAGAAAATTTTTGTAGGTTTTTCAAACCTACTCAATTGAAACTGAATCTGATAAGGAAGATTTAATCCCCAAGTTTCATAAGTCATCAACTGTTATCTTCTTTGGATTCCCTCACTATTTTAATGTCTAAAATAATGCCACCATACAAGTCCTCACCTTTAAAGAAAGTTGAATTCCGAATATGCAAAGTTAATTTAGATGAATCACTGAATGAATTTTATGAATGGTGTGAAAGCCTGTGGTTTGAGTCAGTGAATTTTGCAAGTACAGTACAGTATAAATGGTACTGTATGCTTCTCAGTCATCCCTTTTTCAAAATTGGCTGAGATGATGACAGTTAAGAGTTAAAATCTTTAAGACCAAAAATAAGTATTGTATGTACCTAATGTTTTAGGTTCAAGTTACTAAGGCCCAATGCAACCATAATATATGTCAGTATATTCTCAAGTTTGTCACACTGTTGATCCTGAAGGTATATGAACTTGAGGGGCTCTACTGCATTACCTAAACCTAGTTATATATTCAACATACTGGTAAATATTCTATAATAGCATGCACAGTAAATTACACCTTTGTTCATTATTGTCAAACCAACCATCATCATCAAATATTGGAGAATTTATGGAATTCTTCATGGCATGGAGCTTGGCCTTTGTCAGGTCTCGTGTGCTTTCCACCGGTGTGGCATTAAACAAATTACTGAGGTGGTTAGCAACTTCTCCAGGACTTAAAACACGACAGAGTTGATCACACGCTCCTTGGAGATGTTCCAGTAATGTTACCTGTGGAAAAAAATTGATTGATCAGAATGCAGCATATCCCCTGACACTAAAGCATGGTTATTGTTAGAGAGAACATTAGAAAGGTGAAAATTTATCTAAGTTTCTACTTTATTCAATGTTAGAATTCTAAAAGCTAGCCAGGACTCAGGGGCCTGGTGCTTTAACCTGTAGACTTGCTGGTTATACAGAGTTGGTCACTCCACACATACATCATAAATCTTAGTTTGCAGAAATGAGAGAAAAGTATTTTGCAAAAGTTAAAAAACTAAATATGTTATCATTTTTATTTTACTTGTAGTAGCAAACTTATATCAAGATCATACAACGTTATAAAGGTATAATATATATACACATACAATACACACATACATATGGTATATCATTCACACCAAAATAAATAAATAAAGAAGAAAAAATAGAGTACCGTAATGTGTTTTTACTCAATATACATAAAAATGACCAATACTGTACATGAAATAAGAATAAAAAATATGGCAAAGAAAACTGACAATGAAAATGTACTAATTCTAAACAAGGCCATACCTGAGAGGCTTCAATATTTTCTAAATGCATGTTCAGCATACGAGCAAAGGATTCAAACAAGCTATCTACATCAACCCTGAAAGAATCTTCATTCTGCCCTCCAGTTGCTCTTGCAAACAGAAGCCTTGACTGGATGATGAACTTGAAGATGTACTCTAGGGAGCGAAAGCACCTCATGATAGGATCTTGTTTTTCAGTTTGAGGACAAAGATCTGACAGGTGCTTCACACAGCTGATAAGGCCCCTGTAATGAAAGTGAAGAAAATAGAATCAACTGACTGCATTATATGATTCAATCTGTGAAGAATATATTAATGACAATAAATAACACTGTCTAATTCATCAAGTATTTCAAGAGTAGAGTTTTAAGTATCAAGTTGAGCAAAGAATGACTATGGCAGTGCTACTGACTAGATTCTTTAAGGAAATGAGGGACTGTTCCTGAATTTACATTCTATATCAAGCAAGGATTGGGTGACATATACTTGTGATGACACTGTAGGTTTGACCCTCCACTAATCCAGAAGTAAAAAATCACAACAGATATTTCAGAGCCAAGGAAAGATACCGGATAACTCAAGAAACATGACAGACAGCAAGAGAAAGTGAGGGGGAAATAAGATAAAGTGAAATTTAATTGATGTGAAGGACAATGGTTAAGTCTGAGAGTATGGTTAAGTAAATGAAGCCTAAGTAAGCCATCAGTGGAAAATAGATGACTACAGGGAAGCCATCCTTTTTTAAACACCCATATAGTTCTCTCACTGTTGCATTTCTAGGATGATTTGAGGTTTATAGATTACTTGTACTACCTATAATAATGAGAGAGGTGAATGGTGGAAGAGAGAGGGGAAGACCAAGGGCATGGAAGGATGGGATAAAGGAGGTTGGACATCCAAGAAGTAGCTGTGTGCGAGAATGATTAGAAAACATAGCATGAAGTGAGTGTTCGGGAGGGACATACTGCTGATGGGTGATCTGGGCTCGAGTGTCATGATAATGGTAAACCAGATCTGAGGTCTTCTTGTGGAAAGGGAGTACCACAGCCTAACCAGATCTGAGGCCTTCTTGTGGAAAGGGAGTATCACAGCCTAACACATCTTTTACAGTAGTAAGAATAAATGATTGATTGATAGTGAAGAGAATTTGTGTGTGTGTGTGTGTGTGTGTTTATTCATGTTTCTGGCTACCCTGCATTTAATGGGAAAAGGCTTCAAAACTTATACACAAAAAATAATGCACAGAAACGTACTTGTATACAAGTGCGGCAGCAAAATGTCCAGTGATGTAAGCATCCATGACAGGCTTGAAGTGTTCAAATTTGCTGTCTTCTAACAGGCTGAAGATAAAGACCTGCAAGTGAAAACAATTTGTTAAAAGGATAATTAAAATGTACAGGTATCCTTCATTTAATCATGGGATGAGTTCCTGAAAAACTCATTGCTAAGCGAAATGATCGCTAAACAAGGGATAACGAAGAATAATATCTGGGGAGGTGGCATGTAATTGTGTAGCTGAGTCGCCAACTCACCACCCAGTAACACTCACAATGGGTGAGGCTGAGCTGTGAGCTGTTATTGTTCAACTCATAATTTTGGAAAGATATATGCAATTTTCTTAATTTTTTTTCTGTTACATGCACACACAATCTTTCATACAGAATGTGAAAAAAAAATTATCATAAGGTCAAAAAACATAACAGGAATAAATATTTGTCACGTGAGCGGGAGTCAGCACACACAGCAACGGAATGGGGAGTGAGAAGGGGAAGGGGGAGCAGCGTGGAGGAGCTCTTACCCGGTACCGGTAACTGTTCTGTCTCGTGTCCCATGAAATGATTGCCAAATGGCAATTTAGTATTTCTTCTTTTATTTTATTTATTAATATTTTTATTAAATCATCACATTTACTGGAAATGTATGCGGCACCTTTACAATCAATTACTGTGCAGGAATTTCTTAGGCAGTGATAATGTTCAGTTGACTTTCTCGCTCTCTACTTCACTGTACAGTACAGTATGTTGCAGCACACCATACAGTACTACAAGTATAACCAAAGTAAGACTTAAAAATTACCTTTTCATTACTGCATCTACTTTTCTAGATTTAACAAATATCAAATACACTATATAAATTTTAAAACAATTAAAAAAAAATCATACAGAAAAACATGGTAGCAAATTTTCCAATGTAGCAAAATGGTCCATTAAGTAACCAATCATATTATCTAAGTTTCCACAATTGTTATAGATGAAGTTAAGTGTGTAGATCTTAATCAATAATTCAATTGTGACAGTGACTTACTAGGGCCTGGAAGACATGACCTGAATGCTGTGTTGAATTTCCATCATCTGTGGAAAACATAGCAAACAAAGCATCCAGCACATCCTGTAGGAACTTGACTGTTTCTGCACCATCAACACGTGTCAATCTTGAGAGAGTTTCACCAATACCATCTGGTGCTGAACGCCACCGCAGCAGTGATAAAAGATCAACTGAAAGACACCGGAGATATATTAAACATTTTGATAAACAGTGTCCAACAAATCATTTAACACTATTGATGTGCAGAGGAAATGGAGAAAATCTGGTAGTTCAACTGAAAAAAATGAGTAGACAGTGATTATGACTAATTTCAAAGCAATGTGTGTCTGATAAATACATATTCTGTAATGTTATAAATGACTATACAATTTAATTGGACAAATATATTAAAATAATCATTAAATACATACATCCCCTTCTCAGAACCTTAGTTTTTTGGGGGGTTAATACAAGTGATCACTCTCCACCCCACCATAGCTTACTTGTTGCTTGTGTGTACAATATTGGGACAGTCAACACATGTGGTTTGCTCTACCTATACAGAGAAATGCTACTACTCTGGAGACTCATTAAAAACACACGGACATTGTTAAACGTATTAGGTTAATACGTTAAAAAAAGTTAAGTTTTGATTTGGGCATTCAAATAAATATAATGACTAAGCCCTTGGTTGAATGTTAATGGAATCTGATGAACACAGTAAAAGAAAAAAAATGGCAGCGTGTGCAAGACCTTCAAGTTGTTTGTGGGTGCTAGGAATAAGATTTATTGGATTCTGACTACTAACTATGGAGAATAAAAACATTGTATTACTATAATACTTTACAACAAAGTACAGTAGGACCACTAGCACAGAACTCAAGCACCTCAGAACCTCCACTGATTGGGTGAGAAGAAATTACACAGTCAAATCATTACTGGATTGTTAGCTGCACCAGGACCATTTGAGGTGAGTTTGCGGTACCTCTGCCAACACCAGAGCCTCATCCCAAGATGAGGCCTGTGTCACTCCTGTGTGTCTTAGAGATGGTACACGTCTGAATCCATTTAAAATTAATAAGAAATTAAAAAACAACACAACCCTTACGAGCTATCATTACTGTCCTCTAAGCAAAAATATAGTGTTAAACCGACTTACTAGTTCCTATATAAGCATCAGAGATGGCTAGGATTATACAAATTAATACAATATTGTCTAAAGCAGTATAGTATATTGCTGAAAGCTGTACTGGTAATGAACATTGTAGGACAAAGTACAGTTAATTCATTTTTCTATCATTTCTATTTGCACATGTATATGTTTGTATGTATACACACACACTATTACATCAACACATGGCATAAATTGGTAAACACTGGGTTCATGTGTCCCTGATGCCACCTATTGTACTCATTTCTACATTCCCCATCTCATTTTTTTTCATTGTTTTTAACTTCTTGCAAAGAGAAACTTACACTGTAATGATAAGAGGACTCCATTTCCAGGTTTTATGGATGACAAAAGTTTTGGGGGTCTGGCATATTACCCTCTACAATATACCTCAGAATCCATTATAATATACTACAGTACAGTACCTCACTGTAGATGATGCTGTAATGGGTCTAAGCCACAGAGGCAGTAGCTACTGTATTTCAGCAAGATATGTGCAGTAACTATATACAATATGTTAAAACCATAACTCACCATTTTGAGTAAGCTTTGTTGAGCAAAGCAGAGTATCTATAATGATGCTTTCTTTGGGAGATCGCTGGAATGAGAGAGAGTAGATACAATCTACTGCATCTTTAGAAAAGAAAGGCATATTCAGGTACTCCATGGGGTTGCTTAGACGTCCTCGTTCATCACACTTATACACACACAGTTCATGTGACCCGTCCCGTAAAGTTGTCCCTCCCTCATCGTCCATTAATCGTATGAATGAAAAACCAAATAGCTTTTTTTCATTCCTTTCACGAGCTGAAATACAGTTTACAATATATAAACAAACTTTTGAAACTGAAAATGTTAATGAATAATAAAATAAATAAATGGAAATTATCTCAATAATAACTGAAAACTAAACGGAACATAATACAGTAAAAAAATCTCTTGAAAGAATTACGCAAAATATTCTGTTATAATCTTTGCATTTGATATACTGCATCTGCCAACATCATTCTCCAGTATACTGTGTTTAGAAGTACAGGATGCTACATTTAGGTGGCTGGGAGGGAGATTGTCACCCCCTTCCTTTAAGCACAAGTACTTTATTCTATTTCTTTTAAAAAATTACCAATAAAACCATATGAAATTTAATACTCTTAATTACACACAGTCAGCTATTTATAATAATATTCCACCAAATTTTGATTAATCATTAAAATGAACAACTATTATAAGTTTGCACAACACCAAAATCAAATTCTCTGGGAAGTAGCCCATGACATTCAGGGAAAGAAAAATTCTCACCTGCACCTAAAGAGACATTAATCAAATAAAGTACTAAATTTCTCTCTATTAATTATTTTACATCTTAACTACAAGTACCTAACAACACTTAAAAAGTCACTCTACACTCAAACTTACAACTCTTCGCAATCAATATTCTCCAATTAATCTTGTCCCCAGCCTCTTCATTCTCAAATTTTCTTGTCAACAGAGGCTGCTTTAACTTGTAAGTGAAGTTATCCAGTTCATTTTAATAACAGCTAATCAATAGTTACATGAACATTCACATACAGTAGGCTCTCGCCAATAACGACTTCCACAATAACGTTTTCGACAATAACGGTAAGTTACAACAGATACTCATTTTCGATAATAACGTCTGGATTCTCTTGAATAACGGAAATTTCGCGGGAAGCGTCCGAGAGCATCAATGATAGCGTTTGTTTGCCGCCGTGTTGATGACGTAGTTGTCCACTCCGCCTCACTCTCACACGCTCAGTGGAATACAGCGCTGCGCCCACATGTGAGATTTTCGCCACTATAACCAGTGGTTGTTAGGGTCGGTGATCAATAATGGCTTCTGCATTTTTGCCTGTGGGGGCTAGGGGAGGTGGTGGAGGGAGTGATTTGCCACCTGAATGACAGGGAACTTTTAAAGTGAGGAAATTGAACTGTCCTGAGTCTACAGTGCGAAATATTAAGAGGAACTTAGAGGAGACCAAGAAGAGTATTGTGCTGGCTAAAAATATTTCGGTAGTGATGGAAATGCGAGGCGAGCTATGAATGAAAAAGGTGATAGAAACAGGTTGTTAGTGATAATAGAGCATTTTCTTGTGAAATGGTTAGCCTGTAGAATGAAAGACAGTGCAAGTGTTAGTGACCCTCAGATATGGAACAACCATCACGCCAAGCACCTCAAAAACTCCCCCAAGCTAAGTGTTATATTACTCAAACTCTTTATTTTGATGATTGAATAACAATTCTTTTTATTTCAGCTAACAAAAAGTGTTAGGAGGGCTTCAAGGGGAAAAAATGGGTGAAATTCTTGTGGCGGCGGCACCAATAAACCCTTTTTACATGTACAAGTATTTTAATGTCACACAAATAACGTTTTCGCTAATAACGGTGTTTTTCAGGCACCTATTAAACGTTATTGGTGAGAGCCTACTGTATACCATACCAAAAGGCTCATTACCCAACAACTTTACAGAGTTGGGAAAATCAAAACATGAAATAAAAAAAGAGTACACTGTACATGGAACTAACTTGAGCAATGTCTGTATTCTAGTCTGAGATGAGCTCCAGCAAATTGATCAATGGGAATGGCTACTTTTAGCCGCTCATTCCATCGTGGAGAATTGTTGTGGTACATTATCATGGAGGCATAATCTGTCGTTCCTTCGTGACCCATACCACTGTAAATAGACTGAAAGTAAAAGAAAAAACGAATAAGGAAAAATCTATGACTATACTGTACCTGTATAATGACTGTATGTGAAAGATAATTACCAGTAAATGTAATATTTGTTAAAAATGCTCGAGCAAATAAGGATACAAGTACAGTACATTAAAAGTAACTGGAGGATTCATCCATGCAAGTTGCAGATTAGTGTAGCAGGAACTTTTACCACTAGAACAGACTTTTGACTATTGTTCAAATGGAAAGGATACAAAAGTACTAAAGAAAAATGATGATAACAGAAACAGGGAAAAGTTATTTGAAGGTAGAGTTTGAAAAGCTAAGGGACAGAGAGTTATATGACAAAATAAAAAAATATAATGATGGCATCAACATCTGTGGGAGAACTACTACAAGTACATACAGGTATTGTGAAAGGAGAAAATAATAAAATAATGAAGTACAGGTAGGTGTGAAAATATAGGCAATGAATCGTTGAGGAAATGGAAAGATGATTTACTCAGTGATTTTTTTATCTTGGTCAGATGACATGCAAAGACCAAGTCTAGAAATGAAATATCTCCTGTATACTGTACCTACAATACTGTACTGTATTTCTGTATGCATGACCTTTAGTGTGAGTTCACTGGTAATTGCTCGATAATTTTAGACAAGCAGATGGGTGACCAAGCAACCATTAATACCAAGTAGGATACAAATTTAACAAGTAGTTGATTATTGTTATAAAATTACGATACAATAAAATACAGACAAATTTCCTACCTGCAAAGGTTGTCCTTCAGCATCCAGAGTTAAAACAGTCACCTCAATATTCTTGCTAACAGACTTGCCACCTCTCTCAAACTCTCCACTATTTAATGTTACATATAAGTCATTTCTGAAAGGAAAAAAAGGAAAAAAATTAAATAGAACAAGTACAGTACAATACTATTATTCAAACTCCAATCTGCTAGCTAACCAACTGGTGGGTTATTAAGTAAACACCTAGCTATTTGATAAAATCTATCACATATTCCAGTACACTTTATGTAATGTCTACAGAACAGGGGAACCAACAATATGGCAAAAGGAGAATGGGTCTAGTAGTACAGGTACCTAGAAGGGGATAATTAATAAGGTTAAATGTTTAAGACTCAAATCTGTCAAGAAGGTAAGTGGAGCATGAGCTTCCTCATTATAAGAGCAATATTCCTTACAGGGATGGATCAGTCCTCAGTATACTGGAGTACAATAGCTGTCTATATGTTTTCATCTATACATTTAACAACTAATAAATACTAAAATTAGTGCAGCACCATCAGGTTCCTAAATAGATTTATACAAACTATAAAATGCAGACTTATGAGCAGCTTACCTTACATCACCAGGCATTATGACATCAGAAAAACCTAATTTCTTTGTAATACAAACATTCTTGAGCAAAAGGGGATTTTCTTTGGTGGCCTGCTCCAGCTCCCCATGGACGACCTTCACACTCACCACCAGCCCTGTTACAACAAAATTAAAAACATATATGTCAGATGGTAATGCAACCATCAATAAGGCTGCTTAACGAAAAGTTTACATGATAAATTTTGTTTATAAACAGCAAATATTATCTTACTATTGATGGTCTTAACAATGGTGAAGACAATGAAGACACCACATGTGGCCCAATGTTTGTAGTTAGCTTATGCCCAAGAAAAGATTTTCTGTTCCTTTGGGCCCTTTACTGAGGAGCCAGCCCCTTTTTGATATGCACCCAACATAAAACCCTATCTCCCACTCAGTTTTTTACTCACATTTCCAGACCTGATAAACACAGTGTCCTGCAGGACTGTAGCTTCTGTGGAAATTGAGTGTTTACTCTCCTCAGCATAAAGTTTCAAACCTGAATAATGACAACAAATATATTCCCTTAGGAAGCATCTTCTATTTTCCAACCTCTGAAAAATTAACCCACTATAAGAGATCTTCCTGGTGTACTTACTGACCCACTGGTCAGGGTTGGAGCTTGCTTTATAAACCCTGTGCCTGAGTAAGAAGTTGCACTATTTACACTTTTCCTGTACAGTATTAGGCAGGTCACCTGTTCAATTACCAATATCATAAAAAAATATTTAAGCCAAATTTTCAATACTTGTCTACTTATTAGGTAAAATGAAAACTGTAAATGTATTATTTACTAAAGTACTTTAACAAGATGAATATCATGGGTGAGTTTTAGAAAATATTTATTATAAATAAATCTTTAGGAACTCACCATAACTAGCATTGTTAGACATAATAGAGTACTTGTTGGACTGCTTCTTGAGAACAAGTTCAGGTAGTTGAGAGAAGTCTTTTTCATCTGATGTGAAAAGTTTTCCTGTCAGCTCAACCTGAGGAGAGTTATATTATGTTGTTCTTGAAAAGCTTAAACAGTGTCATTGAATATTTCCATGACATATTTACAATATTTACATTCAATATGAAAATTGCAATGAAATGGTAGAGAGGAAAATAAAGAACTGTTCTATAAATTACATTTTCTGGTAGAAAACTCGTTACCAAGCAGCTCTCATTGCTGTGCTAGCATTTTAGAGGCTTGGCCATCAAGCAACAATTGTATTTGACAGCTGAAGCTGATCTTACATTCACACATCCCTCCTAATCATAATCAATGCCCTTAGAGGACAGAAATTAGAAGCAAAGGTTGCCCTTTGGAGACAGGTGGCTAAATTAGAGCCACTGTCACAGGATGCTATGTTTGATTTCAACATTCCCCACCTTATTACTGTTCACTAATGAAGCTTCCACAACATTTAATGTGCACAATGCAGTTTTTATCTCTTCCCTAAACATTTCCTTTTGTACTTCTAGTCTTCCACCTCCCCCTCCATCCCTCAGCATGAAAATCTTGCTACTTTTCAATTATTAGACATTAAAAATCATCAAAATTATTCCATCCATCTACTTTCTGTCTGACTATTATTGTTTTTATCTTACCCCCTGTATATTTTATCCTGTTACTCTTATTCCAATCCCTACTGATTATATCTCTTTATAGTTTTATGATATGATTTTTCATTTCCTACTAGCTTAACTTTACCTCCCAATTCCTTCCCTCTTAAGAATCTCACCAATTTCTTTACCTAATTATTCTCCTCTCTGTATTTCTGTTTCCTATTCTGCTCTTCTAAAGGTAAAATTTCCATGCCTCTCTGTTACTCATCAATGTCTCTTTCCTTTCTTTATTGTACCATGAAGACTTCTATTTTTTTTCCCATTTTTTCAGCCTCATTTATGCCACTACAGATATCCTCCCATAACTTTAGTACAACTAGAATTGTTATCTTCACCCAGAAAACATAAATTATGAGTAATCCAGAGAACATATGAGTAACCCAAAGAATATATGAGTAACTTACCTCTCCTTCACCTCCTTGTAGAACAGACTGAGCTAATCTAAAGAGGGCAATACCATAAGGTCTTCGGTAGTTGTGAGATGATATCTTCTTTATGGACTCTGAAAATAACATGCGCCCAACTCTAATAACATGGGCAACAATGTACAGATCCGATGACAGATCTCCACTCCCAAGATCCTGTAAAAAAAAAAAAAATACACACAAAATAATAAAAAGACATCCAAAACAATACAATTTACTTTTAGTGCCAGAAAACAAATCAGGAAAATTTATCTAAACTTGACCCTTATGCACTCTTGGCAGGGACTAATTCATTAGTTAGTTCTGCCTTCTCATTTTAACTAAGAAACAATCACCACTTGAGGTGGAGGTCAATGACTCATGACATTATATCAGTGTGAATCAGACCCAGCCACTCATGTCTAAGGGTTTATAAAGGACTTGAGAAGAGGGACAGAAATTCATGATAATAGTATTAAGGAGCACACTAACTGCAGGTACTTACTGTGAATATTGTGCAGTTGCTGTGGATCTTTTCAACATAATTTGAAAATCCTTCTTTAGATAGTTTGACTAGAAATCTTTCACTGAAAGTAAAACACAACAGCAGAATGAGAATAAAACAAGGTCAGTAAAAATTTACTAAAATGCATATCAATGACAATGAACAAACAAACATATTCGGCTTTTAAGAAACAGTAAACCTTCACACATTCAGACACCACATACAGTACTCAGAATCTAGGCATCCATGGAAAGGAATCTTATGAAATGAAAAAATAACAGAAAAACCTAAATCGAACACGAAATTTCCATTCTTACGCATGGTGAGATGAGGTCACATGCAATACTTTTCCCCATACTGTATTGCAAATGAACATATTCGCTACATGTGAAGTGACGGAGCTGTGTGGAAAGACTCCAAGTCCCTTGTTTACTTGTGGGTACAAACCCACATTTAAAGTTCAGTTTACAATCTTCAAGTGTTCAACACTGTGATAACATTCACAATTTTCACAGAACAATGGTCTTTAATTACAATCATAAACAGGATTCAGACCCATGTAGTGAGCATATGTCAGGTGATACTGTAATACTGATTCCATAAATTTAAACCTCATGCCAAAAAGAAATCCAAGCTGGTGTGTTACGTACCTAATAAATTTATTTTTTTGTGCATCATACAAGGAGAAAAAGATCTCTGCATCTTCTCCTAAATGATATGAGAAATCTCTCATACAGAAGAACAAGTGATGACTCAGCACTTTTCTCCTCTCTTTCCTCTTGGCCAGGGTCCCGAGGCCCTGAAATTATCATTGATAAGTAAAACATTTCCTGTTTATTATAATATTCCTCAAAGTACACCTGGGGTCAAAAGTTCACTCCTTCCCAAGCTGAAGCAGTACCGACCGCAAATGAGATAAAACAGCAAAAATGCACCAGACGGCAATCAAGTTAATTAAGTTCAGAGACTCATTCCATGACTCAGTTTCACCATGGGGAGCAAACTTTTGTCCACGACTGTACAATGTATGTGTGTGTGTGTGTGTGATTGCATTGTGTTTGTTTTCATGGGAAGGGAGTAAGTTGTGATATACTGCACAGTACTAACCCCTTATTTTGGGTTTGTTCACTGTCCAGTAATGAGAACCACTGGGCAGCGGGCATCTAGCTATAAAAAAAAAATGTGATGCAGTAGCTTTACTTTAATGGTTTTCACTTAGTTATCAATATTTAATTCAGTAAAAATGAATGTAAGAAAATCTGGATAAGTATTTCACAGCTGACTCACCTGGTAATGTGACTTTGAAGCCTCTGCACTCTGAACATGCTGTTGGGAAAAATATATTATTTATTTTCCTTAAATTGTTTATTTGTTCATATCGCAACATATCTACAACTGTTCATAATTTTTAACCAGTGCCACATATTCTTTTCAAAATTCTAGGGTTGAATTACAGAGGAAGTATTGTGACAAAGCAAATTCTATATTTCAGGGTCACTGAATTCAAAAGTAAAGCATTTTAGCCAAGTCTTCTCTGTACTGCTTATGGATCAGTTTAATCAATATTTAAATTCTTGGCACATACTGTACTTCAAATGACATTAATTAAATTTCTCTTACCTTGATGACATGCCTTATAATATATAATCATCTGGAATTTGGTAAACAAGTAAAGGAAAGTAGATCATATGGAAATGAGTGCAAGTTCAACAAGACTAGGATGCTGTGGGAGACTACAAGCTCTTAATAGCTTAAAAGAGTGTACTAGGCAGCTGAAGATAATACTAATATGAGATACACATATATGTTGGTAATGTAAGTGTGAAAGTGGGTCCCATAGGCCTGATGAATAATTTGGGGTAGTGTTGATACAGTAAAGTGTCAACTTCATCTTAAACAGTACACAAAGAGGCACTGTGGCTGGCACAGCACTTGACCACATTCACTTCCTTAACTGTTAAGTTAGGGTGGAATGGACATGAACTTGAGAAATAAAGTACAAGTTGCCCTCATATATATATCAGCTGCACCTGATCTGGATTCACACTTACACAGTTTACATCTTAGTATCCAAACTTTGTTTATACCAAACTTAAATTGCAAGGTCTTAACAGCTATATACAAAGATACAGATAACCAAAGTACATTATAAACTCATCTCCTGATACTATAAAATGGTATATTGAGAAGTGAGTTCAACTTTTTTTGGGGGGGTAACACTCCACCCCACTGACGTTAAGGATGCATACCCGCCTATCCTTTCCATGCATCAATACCATGAGAAATATTTTGTATATGGTAAGACATGTTAATTAATCACTGAAAACTTTTGACATAAAATTTATGAGAGTAATGAACAACATACCACTTGGTGAAGCTCCACCACACTGACAGCATCAGGATCTACCATCTCACCATCCACACGAGGTACAAGGTCCAGCCCCAGTTTCCTAGGGGAGAGAGAGAGTGATAAAAAAATAGATAAATAATTATAATAAATTTTCATTGATATTACTCATGAATGCTTTGAAAGGCTAACTGTTACTTTCCAGTTTATGGTGTGTGTGTGTGTGTGCGCATGTGCATGTGCACGTGTGTGCGTGTGTGTGTTGCTAAAAGTAATTGAGGCATAAGAGAAATGAACAAGTTTCCCTGCCCCTCCTGCTGTCTACCTTATCGACGCCTGATGACCAAATGGACTCAAAACCATAACACATTTCAGCTGCTCAATCTAGCCAATTAAAAGCCCACACGAGAAAATGAGGGTGATACACTTATTTTACACATCCAAACAAAACAGACTATAGTGTTATAAAGAACATCTATGGTTGTGTTATTGTAAACATGTAGTACCTGTATTAATGCTGTATTGTTGACACTGTATGTGAACTTATGTATTGCTAATGATATGTTAACCGTATACAATTAAATTATGTACTTGCTAGTGTAGATAGTATTTCTATATTTGCCAGAAAGCAGCAGACAATGTCATCAAACGTATATAAAAATATCATTAAAAAAAGAGCACTGTGGGGAGGGGAAACTTATGCGATCTGAAGACAACCCTTTACAACTTCACCAAAAAAAAGCTGGATCTGTCAGGCTTAAGCTTGTCGTTGTTTCATCTTAATGGCTTGTTCACCCTTATTTTACAAATATCCTAAACCGATAGGAGCCAAAATCACTCTAAAATCCTTAAATCTTAACATAAAATTATCTAAAAAACAAATCCTTTACTATAACTTTAACATTAACCAGGAACTCGATTAATTAACTTCAACATTGACCAGGAACTCAATTAGTTAACTTTAACATTAACCAGAAACACAATTAACTGTAACATTTCAATATGTAAATAACAGTACTAACCTGTTTCCCCAATCTATTTTGCGTGTAATCTTTAGCTTGAGTTGTGAAATTTGATCGGAAGTTAAGGTTCCAGTAATCAACTGCTTCCGCCAGTCCGCCACATCCATCATGGCTTTGCGGACAGCATCCCAGAGTTCCTGATCTCCCTTGGGTGTTCCAAGTAACTGAAAAATACAGGTAAAATTATTATCAAATAAATAATCTACATGTATAGTACAGGCAATACCATTCTGGACTCCCAACCCCCAGGACACAGGTTGATAGGGCACTAGTCTTCTGTTGTGCACCGAGTTGGCCACCAGCCACATCATTGCCCTTGGCTAATCTAAATCTTCTCACCTGGTAGTAATAAAAATATAATATAGAAGGGTATATAATTGCCAGATGTATACTGTACTGTATTTGGTGCGATAAAAGGATGTGATTACTGTACTGTATCACAAAGCTTAAAATTATTCTTATGCAATATTTATCTTACACTCAGAAAATGATCACAGGCCTTGACAAAATTATCAAGAACAATGGAGGAATCCTACACAGACCACTGGCCTTCTTCCCTCAGCATGGCCACCTCTAGTGGGTGGATACAGTATTAGGAAAATAAGGTAAATAAGATTTCAGATGCCCAGACAAGAAAAATATAAAGAGCACCTGTATGCACAATATTTAATTTTTATAAATTTATTAACTCATAACAGATACACTCCTGTGCAGAGTAATGTATTTAATCTATTTTTATTTAAAAAAAATGTGAATCCTTGTTAATATTTTTTTCTTCACTCTTTATCATTTTCCCCAAGTAGAGACCATGAAAGGCAAGAGGTGATGTGTATAGTGAAAAATTACTATACGTACAATACTTATACAGTACTGGTTATGAAAAGTTCATTCATGATTGCTAATTATTTTTTAAATCCAGAAATTACCATACTGTATAGTGTACTATATATACTGTATATCCAGGCTCTGGGTACAAGTTAACTGCAACATTCTTTACAGTACTGTACTGTATAAATCCAACCATTCTCACTTGGTTCACATTCCACAAACATGAACAAATTCCATCTAGATAAAATACAAAAGAAATTAATAACAAAAAACTGTATTGCCAAACTTTCTTATGACACTAATTATAATTTATATCAGGACTCACCACATAGAGATTCTTCCATATTTGACCCCATTCTCGTAGCACCGATGCGGCTTCCTGTACAACTGGATCTTCAACAGGTGTTACCGTTTCATATAACCTGAAATAAATAAAAAACACTTTCTTACTAATTTTTCGTGAGGAACTTTGTTAATCTTTTAAATGATAAGTACAGTATAACTCCCCGATATATCTACAACAGGACCACTCAAGTTTGTGTACTCGTGGGTCTGATACCTCCTGTTAATTAGTTACCTGGTAGAACCTAATCTACATTAAACCATGCACAATATAGCATAAAAATATATAGTCTTGCACCCTCACACACAAACACATCCTGTAAAAATAAACAAATGCCAACATATACACACATTAATTGACTTTGGACATAGTTACAGTATTCCAAAAAACATAAAAATGCTAACAACAGAAATGCCAGGAAGGAGATGAAGGACCACTGAATATCAAGAGATGAACAAACTAAAACTAATTCCTCTCTCAATTTGCTCACTATCCTCAGAGGGAAAGATAGGTGTCTGCCAACTAATATATGTCCTTGTGAAAAAAATTAACAACTGGACAATGAAGGTTATAACTACGAATGAATAGTAGACTGACCTACTCGAAGGGTTAGTAAGCTGACAAGTGGTGGAAGTAATAAATAAAAAAATAAATAAAATTTGAGTCAATTTTCACTGTTTTAATAGGCTATGTGGTAAGTTGCCTCATAAAGCAACATCCTTCTTTGCCACATGATATACTGTAGTATGCATATTTTTATTTTTTCCACCAAACTGAGACACACTCGTTAATTCCAAGTAAAAAATTTTCAATATACAGGTAACCCTTTCCTGAAATATTCTCATTTAATTTCTTATGATGAAAGTCTGATCCACATACCAAAACATCCTTCTTAAAGTCTCTTTGTCACTTTATAATCCACTCCTTGGCAACCATGCAGCTATTACAATCAACAAGCTACTGTAATTATTTCCCCCTCCCTGCCTCCTACTCTCTCTCTCCTCTGAATGTCAACCAGTCCTCAAGAAAGCACAATACATTAAGACATTTATAGTACAATATGGTACCTCGTCCAACCACAAGACATGCAGTTAATTGGTGCTCACCCTTCATTGTCAATCTTAAATGGCTTGAGATGGATGAACTGGGCAGGAAATATTCCCTTCACATTTCTGTTGCGTGTGGAAAAACCTCTGTACCAACCTGTGAAAGGAAAAATACAGTAGTTAAGCGAATCCAATGAAGCATACACAATATGCCTCAATTACATGTTGAATCAAGATAATACTCTGCAAAAGAATGTGACATCAATCTCCGACTAAAATCAAGTGCAATCAATAAAGCTTCTTATAAGTAAACACCAAAGGACAAAGAGATTACAGCATGCTCCATAATGTTGATATGTTGTTGCTTTAACCCTGAATGAATCCAGTGTGGAAATTTTGAGAAATGTTCCAGCTACATTATGGGAGAAAAAATATCGAAATGAGATATACTGTACTATAATTATATGCTATTCTCTTTGACATTTACTGTTTGGTTAACTAAAATAGTAATGAAACAAAAACTGCCAAGAGAGCTGTGTATGTGAATGCAGAAAAGCAACATGGTTATACTGTACAGTAAAGTACTGTACAATATTGTACAGTAGAGTATCATACTGTACAGTACGTATTGTATTAGGAAGAAAAAATTTACTGAAAATACAGTACTGTACAGTATTATAAAGAAACAGAATTCAGAGGGTAAAACAGTTACCGGTACGACATCTAAGAAATAATATTAATAAGGAGGGTTAACTAAAAGCAAATGTAATGTCGAGTTTGTGTAATACATATCAAACAAATTCTTGAAGTGACAAAGAAAATAAGCATGGAATAAAATTGGGATACAAACTAGAAATTTAGAAACAATACATGCATTAGAGACAGAGGACATAAACTGTATCTCACTGACCACTACATTCCTCCAGAACCTGTACTGTCTCCCCAACATCGAGATGCAAGGCTTGTTGGACTTCACGGTCAAAATTGTAGATTACTGAAAATCAGAAAATAAAACATATAAAAATTCATCTACTGTACTTGTATGACATTTCCAAATTACCTATAAATGCAATAAATCAGATAAAGTACTGTATAAGACAAAAACAGGTACAGTACACTATGCTAGTAATACAAGGGCAGATTCAGGTTACCTTTCCCCATGAGTGTGATTTATTGGACAACAACGTGCCATAACTTTACCAAAATCATCAGAGTACTGTAGGTATCCCTGGTCATATGCACACCAGCCAGTCACAAAGGCTACATAATTTGTACAAAGTTTTACGATATTCTGTCAATATTTTTTTTAGGATTTCAGACTATCCAACCTACAGCAAGCTCCCTGGGAATGGGATAACAAAACTATACCTCCATATACCTTAAGTGATAGGGCCTCCACCTGATCTAAACTTGCAAAGAACCAAAGAATTCCAGTTAATTATGTTTTTCAGGAAGCCATATTAAGTCAAGAAAGTCAGGTTTACAAATGCCCAAAGCCTGAAAACACAAATAACAGAAATGACCTGTACTGAACACCATCCGCAAAAAAGTGTCTACTAATTTTCTAGACTTTTTAAAGATAAAGTTTGAATGTCAATAATAAAAATTAATTAAATCACAATCATAACAATAATCACAATGCTTCCAAGCATTAAAAAACCAGGTAAAATTAGGATAACCTGAAGATTCACTCCCCAGCTTATCCTACCTTAAGATTTAACACCCTCATGCTAAGTCGGACAAGTTAAGTTAGGTTAGGTTAGTTAAGCATCATGGAGGTTAATCTTCAGGTGGAATAAACAGGTGGAGCAAATCTTCATGCAATCAAAAAATTATAAGAGACCCCAAAATTGATAAATATACTTAATAAAAAATCTATAAAATAAATAACAAAATTAATTCATCGAATAGAGGAGAACCATTCACTAAGCTACACCACGGTAACTGTAGGGGCATTTGTGACGATAAATGCCACTGTATTTAAATTTACAATAAAATATTGTTAAGTTATACAGTATTTAAAAGACTCTTTTTCAAGGTAATGAATTGGTTTATATATAATGTATACTGTATTTCTGTTACTGAATGTAGTATTGTAATAGTTAAGATACACATGGCATCTAGTATAGGTACAGTACTGTATTTGAATTTGACATTCCGTAATCTATTTTTCTCAAACTCCCTTCAATTCTATACCTAAGTAGTGGGTTTTCAGTTTTTTATTACTGTACAATATTTACCTGGAGATAATATGGGTAAAGAACCTTAAAGCTAAGATTCTTGACCCATAATACTGTATTCCTGATATGCTGCACATCCTCCCCTACTACAGGAGTATGTCGATCAGGACACACGTGAGAAGGGTGTTATCCAGTGTGACCCTCACTACCTAACACCACAGGTTTCCAGGTCCCCGGTTTCCTCCTGTATTAACACTGGATAAACCGCCCAAACGGCTAGTAAGCTGATAAGTGGTGAATATGATAAAAATAAATAAAAATAAAAACAAGGTCACTGGATAAAGGGTTAGATGTATTACAATATGCGTATAGCACTGTATTATGCATAAAAATTATGTATTCCAGAAGTAATGTAAAGAGAAATAAAAGATCATACTGTAAAGACACTTTTTAAATGTATAGTTACAAAAAAATACAAAATCTTCTAGTGTAATGGAATAACTAGGAAAAAAAGACAAAAAGAAGTTTTTAACCCAACAAAAACGATAATATATTCTTCAACTTCGTCTCAAAACTGACATACCATACTAAGAAAAATAGGCAGTGGTTATTTGTCATGTCAGAGCCTTATTGTTTTCCTCTAATTGCCCAGCATTCACTCTGATTGGTCAAGGATGATAATGCTGATGACCTAGAATACCAAACTTGGTAACTTTCACACTTAACCTGACCTAACATAACAGTGCCATGTTTGCAAGTGACTGACTTCAGTATTACACTGTAGGTCATCAACATCATCAGCCTTGACCTATCAAAACAAATGCTGTGAATTAGTGGATGAAAATAAAGAATTAATCTATACGATACCAAAATTTTCTAACTTATTATTGATATTTCCAGTGTATGGAACAGTTGTTTCTGAAATGTTTTTCTTTTGACGCTCACATAAACAAGTCAAGAAAGCAAGCATGTCAAGGATGAAATAATTAGAAAATGAAAAACAAGAACGATGTAATTCTTCCTCATTTTGTTTAGATATTCTACAGGTAAAAGTGAAGTTTCTTCTATAGAAAATTTTCCTAAAATTGCCCCTTGTCACGAATCAGTATTCTAGAGCATGACCATAATCTCCTTTCAATAAGCACAGGCACTTCTACAATCTGATCAAAAGGACTTGCATGCATTGGGAATTCCAGATTTGCAAAATACTATTAAAAAAAATGCACTTCCTGTAAAGAAAAATATACCTGTATATGGGAAAACCTAAGTATTAAGGCAGTACTCCTATGATTAGACAGTACAGTACAGGTATACTGCTACTTATAACTCAGTAACTTTTGAAGGATAACAAAATGGGAAAAATAAACCTATTTATGAAAATGCACAGCTAAAAACACACCTCTGCCATAGTAGTAGCTTTTGAATATACTAAAAATGGAAGAATATAACACAATAAATACCACGAACCTCACAGATAGCTAAATTAATATTATCAAAAGGATATGCATACTCTGGAAATTAAACTTGCAAATTTATAGGCAAATTACATCTACAGTAGACTTTCTCTTTAAACACAATATAGAATAATAGTTAGCATACAAAGACCCCATCATGGAAGGTAACGGGGATTAATGACACAAAACCAAAGATTGTCATTAGGTGAAACAAGCCAACAAACACAACTTGGTGAACACTGCCCTGCTGAGCCACTTGGCGTCAACCTCCACTAATGGTACTCACCCACGCCAAACTTCTGGTTCTTGGTTGGTGTCCACATATTTAGGTTCCCATGTGAGTGGCAAAAATGATCTTCACTACTATGAGTATCCGGAATGGCTCATACAATGGTTCATCATGTCAACATCGGTACACCATACATATTGACTATTTACTTTTGGAGTTTGTGTTGTGGGATACTAGATGGCACTACTGGCATGACAGTCAGGGGCGTTCCCTCTCCTCCACCACCGCCAAGTTTGAAATGATCAACACAGAGGGAGGGGTAATTCATTCAGTAAAAAATTAATTAAAGTCCATAATAATTCAACATGTATATTAACAGCAGATGTATTTAATTAATAGTAAATTATAAGTAAATTGGATTACATAAACAGTATCCCTCCCCTGATTACTTCACCTGAGGTTAGGTTAAATTAGAATAGGTATACAAACAATGTACTGTACAGTACAAAGACAGTGCAGGTACATAAATAGGAAAAATATACAAACAATACATAAATAGTAAAGATATACAAACAATGATAAGCAGTAAGTTTATTTGGCCAAAGACTGCCCAACAATTATCATTTCATACAGTCAAAGCAATAACTACGTGCTGCTAACTATCAAAATACAGTTAACTTTTCACAAATAAACAAAACAAGCAACAGTTTTTCGTCCCACCTTCAGTGTGAAAAACAATTAATTGCCGTTGAAGGAAATTCTATTGATCAAAATGCCTTTATAGAGTATAAACTTTTTTTTAAGTAATGCGTCATTACCAATTACTCACTAAACATAAATTAAATGAGAGCTTTCGCTTGTAAATCAGCGTCATTGTATAAGTTATTACAGTTAACCTAGTTTTACACAAACCCTCAGTGAAGAGAAATTAAAATACTATAGTTGAAAACATTGTTAGCCTATACTGAAGAATTTACTGATATGTAAAACCACTAAGGAGAGAGAGAAAGAGATAAATGCAGTAAATGAATAAGAGAAAATGCAAACAAATAATATGAGTAAAAAAAACAGCGAAAGATGAGATAATGAGTGAGGAATATAGAGAAGAGAATGGGAATAACTAAGACAGATAATAGAGGTTGTAGTGGATTTCTCCCCTACAAACGCTGTTTGTCGCTGGGTAGCCGACCCCGCGAATTCCCCAGTGTATGCCTCGTGGTCTAGGTCAACCTGCGCCGCCTTACATGACGGAGGTCAACTACTAAGCCACGCCTACCCCTGCTATTTAAGACCTGACCTCGTGGAGATCTCTCTCTTTCTACCTACACCAACCAGCCAGCAACACCTCCTCCTCCTCCGCCTGCCTGGTGGTCCTCTCTCCCGCCGGCGAGCATGGCGACCCACAAGCTGTCCTCCTCTGAGCACCCTCACCAACCAGCTCTCTCTGCATCACGCTTGTAACCATGCTGCCTTCCCAGCACCAAGCTGCATTGTACATCCAATACAACATGTATAAAGAGAGCACATTGTGAGTTTCCTTTCTCCATCCCATCCTGAGTGTGAACGAAACATCCCATACCCCACAAGGTCTTTGCCTGAGGAAGGATATGTATTCATGGAAGAGGAAGCCGCTCATTAGTCCTATTACCAGACGTGCAAAAGAAAAATCATAAATAGGACACCTAATATTTCCGCAGCAGGGTAATTATCATGGCCGGGTTGTTGATAAACTAGATATTAACGAAAAGAACAAAATATGATAAAGATGCAACAGAGGTGGAAAGTTAAGAGTGTTATTTATATTATTTACAAGAGTCTTCTGCCAAATGCATGAGAGTTGGCAGTTCTTTGTTGCTTAATATAAAAAAATGATAACTGCTGAGGTATCGTTGATGCATTTTCTTCATTTTCATATTGAATTAAAAAACAAAACTGCTTGTAGTGTGACAGGAAGGCAGAAGAAGTTAGTGATTGGTTGAAACTGGGTCGGACGTATAGTGACCATCAGTCAGGCGCTGTCCTACAAATATTTCCGAGTACGCTGTACAACATTTTACCAAGAATTAGGACCAGGATCATTTAAAATGTGCGAGATTTTTTCTAGCGTGTAAAAGGGTAAGGGAGTCTGAAAGCTGTCAGGCGTCGTTATACTAGAATGTTATGTAGTACACAAGGTTACTGGGAAATTGATAAATACAGCAAGAGAGCAGAAAATTTAGTTGTATCTGTACAAGACTCGAGTCAGAAACTTCTTATGGCACTGTTTGAAAAGTGAAAGTGAATCCTTCACAGGCTTGAGGATCTGTTAAAAGCCGTGTGGCTACAGCACACTGTAGACTAAAGCCTCTTTTCATTACACGGTGAGGCAGTGTGGTTGCATCTGACCACTTTCATTTTCTCAACTGCAAAGTTAGGAACCCATTCACATGTGAGTGGAATGGAGATACCCTGAGCAAGAACCAACGATTCTTAGCGAGAACTGTATAGCATCTTTCATAAAGGAGTCACGCCAATCTGGTTCGAGTGCAAGGTTTACATAATGACAGCTGATAATGATACTCTTGAAAACAGCATAAAATAAAACTTACTCAATAAAACAAGCCGTCACCTGGTTGCGTGGAGGCGTTAGACTTATACAAGATCTTTAACAAGCAGCACTTTATATAGATATACACAAGACGGTTCACAGCAAGAGGTGTACACTTTGGCGGTGTAATTCTCCCTATAGTATAAAAGGCGCTGACACTGTATCTACTGTACTGTCTCACTCCGAAACATATGGTAGTATTTTAGATAAGTGTATATGAAAGTTTTGTAAACATATTTGAATATTTTTATAATGAGTAAATAGCGAGTGAGGAATAAGACCCCACATTGATTATTGATTTTATTTTAAATATGCCAAACGTGACTTTCCAGCATTATTGATCATCGAATATTACCTCGAAGATCTTTGTGTAATGTTTTCCTTTAAGAGCTGCACAGTATTTGCAACAAACAGCCATCACAAGTCTCCGGATGCAATTGTTTGTGTGGTAAATTATATAATGATATTTTTCTCAAGATTCAGTGTCTGCTTATTACAGTTGTGTCCAGTTTCCGACATTGGTTGTACTCCATGGAAATGGGAGCTTGCATAGTTACCTTGCAGAGTAGTATCACCAGAAAATTAATATAATTTACACATACGCTGGAAAAGACTATATCATTTACATAGGTTATAGAAGTAACAATAGTTCAAGAAACTAACCGCGTGGGACACTATACATAATAGGCGAGGATTGTTTGTCATTATACCAGACATCCTCCTTCCTGCCTCATAGGTAAGATGCGAATCGCGTGTTGGCTAAACCTCTACCGCTGTATAGTAGAGTTTTGATAGTGTGTCAGATGGCTTGGTCAACATTATCAAAGGCCCTGACACGTCTAAGTGCACTCTGTTTGTGTAAAGGTTATCATAAAAAATAATTTAGACTTTCGTTGGTGTTGGCAACAGTGCTTTTCCAGTTGATTGTCTTGCTATAATACCAAACTGTAAGGACTTCAGTTTATTACAGGCCATATTTTTTATTATCTTCCTTAGAACAGGGAGGACTTGACATGGTGTGATAACTCTTGAAAAAGCCTTCACCATCAGACATTAATTCAGGATATACTTTATAAATTTTAGGTATTACCATTAAAGGATGCTCAACAAATACGTGTTTGTCGGAGAACTTGTTGTGATAATGGAGCCACTTCCTCCTAACTGATGCGTACTGTATAGTGATATGTTGTCACTTCCTGTTGCTGTATGTTTGATTTGCTGCTGACATCTATTATTTCACTTTCCGTAACAGACGATAAAAACACTTCATTTTTGTATTTGTATTGTAGGCTGGCTTTATTGTTATCACGGTGCCCAGGAATAGTTTATGCAAGCTTTCTGACATGTTGATGAGAGGGGCAGTGACTTAAGGCTCTGTTACTGCTGCTGCATCATCACCATAAAACTAACGTCTCAGGATGTGGGTTGTGTTGTTTTGAAGCTGACGCCTGAGTATGATTTTCATTTGGTTTTGTAATTATTACATTCAACATTTATAATCATTTGAGTCACTCCGTTTTAAATGTTTTGATTATGGATTATATAAGTTAAAATCTTCTTTGTATATTTTCCTTGAGAATAGGCAAGGGGATAAAGGAGAATCCTGGAAGAAAGTGTTGAAAGTGACAGGAAAAGACAAGCTGCGATGCTCCCTCATGCTTACTCATATCCTCTACTTGCATGCTTATGTACTTGTGCAGGAAACAGCGTCGAAAGATCATATCATTGTACTCAAAACTGTATCGTTATATTCCAGATTTACCGATATGCAAATTCATTTCTGACACAGACAAAATGTAACTTTTGAATATGAATGATGTTTGTGGGTTACATTAAACCTTCCCCGGGATATTTTGCGTGACTGGAAATTAGGTCTGAGTAATGAACCGCCAAGGCTTGTTAAATATTGACAAAATGAAATTTAAATGGGGGTGATGAAGCAACGGTGAATAATTTCATAAATATTTTGATCACAAGAAACCTCAATATGCACTTGTGTGACTGAGAAGCAAGTCAAAGTCACACATAAACAAATTAATCCATATGTTTATTAGCTACACCCATGTTATGAGTTTTATCAACCTATGTCACATTCTTCCTGAGACTATCGCCCGGAATAAGGTTGGCATTACAAGAATCAGAGCACGGACCCACCTCCAGCTCCAAGCTCAGGGTCCTGGACCTGTTTTGGCTCCGGCTTCAGAGCATTACCGAGCCTACAAGTAGTCAGGCTAGTCCGGACGGGATCTAAGAAAGGATATGACGCATGCTGATAAAATTGGCCGGTTCCGCTCTGGTACTGCCAACCTAATTCAGAATAGGGTTAATCAACCAAGTCACAGTGACCTTAAAAAGTAAGATAAGGTCACCCATACGCGACCAAAAGCTGCGTCTTTATAAACTCATTTACGTTTTTTTTTTGCAGTTGATGTCAGTCACTTAAAGATACATCACTCAGGGGGTTGGTCTGTATTTGTATTCAATGTATGCTTAAAAAATAGGCCTTGGGCATCCATTAACAATTTCTCTCATTATATACATCTACGACGTGCTTTTCAGTAATATATATTAAAAAAAATTTCTGTAGGTTATAGCCAAGAAAAAGGTCATGTGTATGCATACTCCAAAGATGACTCGACTCGACCTTTCATCCACCCTTCTTCCTTCCCTATATATATATATATATATATATATATATATATATATATATATATATATATATATATATATATATATATATATATATATATATATATATATATATATATATATATATATATATATATCTTTCTCACCCCTCCATGAACTCCCTCCTCCCCATTTCCTTTTCTATATTCCTTTCTCTCTCCTTCCCTCCTTCTTTGTTCCTAATTCATCTATGTTAAACTAATAAGACATAAGAATAAATAACTAATAAAATTAACACTTTACCCTTTAGTTACAGGGTAGGAGGGAAGGGTATTGCCATCACTCCTGCCGTCGCTGTTGTTGTTTGATACCTTGGTGTCGAAATAATTTAAGTTTTGCAGAATCAATGGATAAGTTATTAAATAAGTACATTGGCCGTAGGGACAATAAATTTCCCACAAGATTGTCCGTTTATTGGATTAAAAATCATTATAAATCTTGCACGCACAGCTGGCCGTCCGCCAATTTCACCGCTGTGTTGTGCTTTGAAGCAACTTAATATGGCGGTATCCGTCAGTGCGCGTCTAGACAAAGAGAGGAACGTTGCTAGTCCGTCAAGGTGAACATTAATGTGGCTATGGAATGTGATTAGTCTGTGTGAACATCATGGGGAGCGTAGCAACAATAAAGGGATGAGGTGGATCATAGAGAGATTAGAGTTCCCCTCCCCCTCACACACATGGTCAGAGCCGGCAAAGGAAATTGGCAATAAGTACTGTGGTGACGCCAAGTCTGATCACTAACAACGACTGTGACTGTGCAAACCTTGTGTTTGTTCACCTTACCACACATTTGTAATATATATATATATATATATATATATATATATATATATATATATATATATATATATATATATATATATATATATATATATATATACTGTACAGTGTACCCCACGAAAGGCTGAAAGTCAAACTGGAAGGGTACGGAATTCGGGGAAATGTCCTAGCGTGGATAGAAGACTTTTCTACATGACCGCAAGCAGTGTGTGCTGATTAATGGCACGAAATCATTATCCGTACCTGTCACAAGCGGGTACCACGGGACAGTGTATTGGGCCCGCTGTTGTTTTTTTGTTTCATAAATGACATGCCTGACGTTGTACACTCCTCCATACAAATGTTTGCCGATGACGCCAAGTTATTTCGGGAAATCAAGAAGCAGGCAGGCTGTGAAGAGCTGCAGAAGGATCTCTGTGAGCTCCAAGAATGGTCGAAGAAATGGCTGCTGAGATTCAATATCACGAAGTGTAAGAGGATGCACCTGGAGCGTACCAACGGTAAGGAGGCGTATCATATGTCCCAATGGGATGAAGAAACTGCACTATTTGATACTGAATGTGAGAAGGACCTAGGTGTGTATGTTGACAATGAGCTGAAGTTCTCGGGCCATTGCGAGAAGAAGGTAAATCGGGCAAATAAATTATGAGGTCTTATAAGAAGGTACTTCCCCATCTGGAGTACTGTCACCCCGTCTGGTCTCCGAGATATACTAGGGACTGTCAATTGGTTGAGAATGTTCAAAGGAGGGCCACCAGACTGGTGTCTGCACTTCGGCACCTCGACTACCCTGAAAGATTGGAGCGCCTGAACTTGCCGAGCTTATACTACAGATGGGCAAGGGGCGACCTAACTGAGGTGTATAATCATCTCAAGGGGCACTACTCAGTCGAGTGTCCTTACTTGAAGCTGGCGGACGCTCGTCCTACAAGGGGTCACAGCTCAAGATTGAAGGAGCCGCAGGTCCAGAAAACTGCGAGGGCAAACGTTTTCGGAATGAGAGTTGTGAATTCTTGGAACAATCTGCCAGAAAGTGTTGTTACGGCACCGAGTGTGAGCCCCTTCAAGACCAGACTTGACCAACACTTGAGCAGGTTCAGGTACATTCAGGAGCCGGTGCATGCCCAGTATTTGCCAACAGTACGTAACAGAGACGTGACCGATCACCCAAGCGGCTAACGAGCCGATCAGTGGTGAAGAGGATACAAGTAAAAACAAATATACAGTATATATATATATATATATATATATATATATATATATATATATATATATATATATATATATATATATATATATATATATATATATATATATATATCTTGATAAAATTGTTTTCATTGTGGATAATAAGCTTTGCATTGACTGGAATAATGCCTCCTCAATATTACCTTGTAATTCAATTGACAGTAGGAATATTATAGAATCCAGTCTCATTAAACATACCGAATCCGTCAACATGAATTTGAGTAATGGTATGTACAAACTGGATAATTTCGTAATTAAGAAGATTTGTAACCAGGTGAGAAGGTTGGGTCATCTTACCTTCTGACCTGACTACCGACTGCTGCGGTGCTTTTTGAAGATTAGTAGGGTCACTACCTAATAACCTGACTATTGTGGACTTGATCTCACCTTCCTCTACTGTATATATATTTGCCTTATGTATTTCTCCTTAGTCTGTACTCACCCCTGAAGATGTGAATTACACGAAAGCGCTTGGGAACTTCGTGTTTCTTTTTCCTTGTGGTTGTCAGCATATATATATATATATATATATATATATATATATATATATATATATATATATATATATATATATATATATATATATATATATATATATATATATATATATATATATATATATATATATATAGGTACTGTATATATCGACGCGTTTCACCATTAAAATCTAATTACAATAAGGTACAGTAATTTGATATTGCTCATTATTCAGCAAGATCATAATTATGTTGTAATGACCACGGTCGTACATGTTAGTTGACGTAAAATCAAACGATTCATATTACGCTCAATCGCCCATAAAACATGCAGCTATAACTTTTTTATTGAGTCCCCCGGCTGCGGTGCCCGTTTTCTTGTCGCTTCAGGACGTCTGAGCCCTCCGTTTTCTCTCAATTCCTGTATATCCGAGACTATGTTATTTCTACAGACCTCATACCTTGTTCGTAGATTTAAAATTAAGAGAGAATCCCGTAATTTTTTTTATTATTATTTATTGGGCACCCCCTACATCCTTGTGTAAGGTGAAGCGCAGAAGCGTTTACAGCGCCCAACAGGGAAGCATGCTAAGTTCATGCTTGCCTTTATGTCTCATGAGTTAAGGGCGTAGAAGCCTGAAGAGTCAATAGTTTATGTCATCAAGTTATTGGAAGCTCCAACAACTCCCTGAATACGAATTCGCAACTTTCGACTTACAACAGGTACCTACTTTACTGCTAGGTGAACGGGGACTAATGGGAGCTAGGAAGTATGTCCAAACAACTTCCACAGGCCCGGGAATCGAACCCGTGACATCTTGCTTGCGAGGCAAGAGCGGTACCGCTTCTACCACCGGCCCCCCAGAATCCCGTAATGTCCATTTTGCAGTTCACATAAAATCATGGCATGACTTCCCAATACTTTTCTTCGACCTAACCACTCTTTGCACCATTCCCTTTTCTGTATTTGGTTCTTCTTTTTACACTTAGCAGCAATTATTATAGTACATAACGCTATGCTCTTCCCTTTAACTGTCCGCCGATTATTCCTGTGACACACCATGGTGATCGTACCTCACCCGCCACTGCCGACTACCTACTAGCTACCGGTGCCCGACTATGACTGCCACCAACCACCCGTGTGTACAACACACTAGCTTTGCCCAGCCCGCCGGGCACTGCTCGATCGTGTGGACGGGGCTTAAGAATGTCTTGAGATGAGGGAGAAAGCAAACAGGGCAAGTGAACCAGATTATGCTGTTATGAGTGAGAGTTTGGATGAGGAATAAAGTTCCCATCACTAGGAAGTATTATAACCTGTATTATACGTATGCAGTATGTTGACTAACTCATTGGATGAGTGACGTGATAGAGAGCAACTCAGAAGGTTAAAAGATGTCAGTAGCGATACGTTTGTTCAGCTGAATGAGCCCATAATTCCACCTTACAATTCTTCCTCAGACTCAGATGAAACATGATGACAGTGATAGCAGAAGTATGGTAGATTTCCTGAGGCAGAGGAAATCAGTAGTTAGAATGGATTTGTAGAAGACATACTTGCAGAATGTTACATCTCTAAGTATTTTTGGTTACACTGTAGAATGTACATTCAAGATATTTTGTGGGGAGGCATTTTATTTATTTAAAGTTGGAGGTTTGAAGTAGTGTCTATATTAGATTGACCTGGAGGGAGGGCTGACTTTATCAGTTGTAATTAAGTCACCACTGTTGAATTCCAGGTTTTGTGTGTTTTGTGGGAAATCAAAGTTTGTGTGTGCTGTTTAGAGGAAAATCCTTAAGGCAAACTTGTGAAAAGGATGAAGGTGTTCAAAGACTTTTATGCAGTCAAGCATGGGTTCATGCTTACTTTCAGTCTTTCAGATACCATTCCACTTCCCAGATTTGCCCAGTAACATGACACCACCAAATTGTTTTGCAATCAATTAGCAAAAACTTGCCATACAAGTCTTTCTATAAAAGAGTATGAAAATGATTTCTAATGGACAATAAAACTGTAGTATCTCAATAGTAGTATTTATTGGCATGTTTACCAAGCGGTATCGGTTGCACCGCCCCATTCCTCTCCAGTTCCAGCAGGAGCAGCAGCAGCCCAATCATCACCCTGAAAGTATTGATATGTAATTAAAAAAAACAATTTTAGAGTTGCTTTAATAATACAAAAATTACACTATACTTTTATAATTACTCAGGTCAGGAACATGGCTAAGAGCCTGACTTATCGTTAAATTAAGCTTATGATAAATTATCCAACAGGAACCATGCTTGTCATGAGCTACTATAATTTCACAAATTCAAGAGCAATTACACTAAAATTAAAGAGAAGCAATATGGCTAACAATCCCAAGCTTGAATCTACAATAAAACTTTTATATCATGAAATTAATCCAATGACTCTATGGAGTTACTGAGTAGACACCTTGCCAGTCATGATCTACCTAACTTAAATAAGGCAAGAGCCAATACCTGCCTCACAATCTCAAGTAAGGTCAACAATGCCGGTATACAGCAGTCATTCTAAAATTAACATCAATGCATGCTTGTCATAATCTAATAAAATATATTAAAAAATATATAACAACCAAAGTAACAGACAATGAAAGTCTGCCATGCTGGGTGGTCTACTTTTGTGTACAAAAAGACTTGGCATATGATATTGTCTAGAACTTACAGCTTGGCCCCAATCTTCAACAGCTGGAGCTGGAGCAGCAGGTGCAGCACCAGCAACAGCCACTGGAGCAGCAGGAGCAGCACCAGCTGCAACGGGAGCAGCAGGAGCAGCAACTGGTGCTTCAGCTTCAGCTACATCAGTGGCCCAATTTTCTGGGGCTGGAGCCTCGGCCTTAGCAGCTTCTGCTTCAGCCTTGGCAGCCTCAGCTTTAGCAGCTTCTTCCTTCTCCTGCTCCTCAGGGTCACTGCAGAGATTCAAATAAAGTCATCTTTAATAAAAGAGAAATATGGGCTCTTCTATTCTAAATTTATCCCAATTATTTCACTTAATGCACCTGATTTGCTCTCTCCCTTATTTCTCACTAAGACACTCATGTGTACCAACAGCCACAACCTAAAGACCTGTATTTGAAGTTTGGCTAAAAAAAAATATTTACCGGTAGAAGAACAAGTCAGGCATAACATCAGTCTCCCAAGGCAGGTTACGGGAGATTGTCCCACGCAGACGCAGAACTTCACGAGCCAGCATCCACCAAATCAGACCAACTGAGCGAGGACTCTGAAAATATATTGATGCTCAGAAAAATTTATCTCCCATATAATACAGAATTACTGTACACCTAAACAGCAGAAAGAAAAACCCTTCAAAATTATATCCCTTATCATTCAGTAACTTAGCTAATCAAACCCACAGAAATATGAGTAGGAACATAAAAAGGTATCCAAATATAATGTACTCAAAGGTTAAAAATTCATAAGAGTGTCTCTGACAGCCTACTTTGGATGCTGGATAAAAATACAGCCTATAAGGTATCGTGAATCAAGAGCGAGACTGCACTGGCTTTACACAGTGGTAAATTCTTGGAGGCTACTATCCCGTGACTGCACTTTTACCTAGCTCTACATTAAATTGTTAGCTTCTTTCACCTTTCTCATTTGTTCTGTTATTCTTTTATTTTTAAGTAATGTATTATACAAAGTTTAAGTCTATTTTTCAAGGGAAATCTTCCCTTCCTTTTTTTTCACAAGAACACCCTTTTGACAAATGTCAAAAGTGTTAATTCCATAATATACTAGTTTGGCCATTGCAAAAACTTTCCTCTGTCCTTTACAATCCACAGTTAATCCCTAGCTTAAATTCCAGCATTCTCAGGAACCTGGCCAAGACTTCAATCCTTGTTTATGGTGCCCCCCTCACTATTCTTAACATGGGTGTCCTCCAATTTGAGTTTACCATACTCTTCATCTACCCACAACACAGATACAGTTCTACCTTGAACACACTGCTCTTAAATTGTCAATCACAAACAGCTAGTGAATCAGGAAAAATAAACTATTTGTACTTATGCTTGATCTTCTAAAACTTGCCTTGAGGGCTAAAGTAAATCATAATGTGAATGGTAAATAAATAACATACTGCTCATGTAAGATCTTCTCTCCCTTTTAAGTGCAATATATCCACTCCCATTCTTAATTACCTTTTTCATTTATTTTCATCATCTTCTCACCCATTTTGTTTCCCTTTACTTTCATTCTAAACTCCCTGTACTGTACAACCCTATTTTAACTCCTTCCTTGAAGCTGACAATAAGTTAGAACATAAAAAAAAATCGAAATGAGTACAGTAATCAGCTCCAACCTTATTATTGCAGGGGATTGCAATATCCACATATCGCAGGGGAGAGTCAGTGTTGCAGAATCCAATGACAGGAATGTTAACATAGGAGGCTTCAGTAATGGGCTGGTGGTCAGATGCAGGGTCGGTCACTACGAGCAGACGTGGTTCACGGAAGGCAGCCTGAAATTTAGAGCTTTTTTATTTCTGCTGGTCCAACAGCAGTTATGTAAATTAGCAGATTTTTCATCTTTTGACATATCACACTGATACCCATAAGTGCCTCCCCATCCAAAATATCATTTTGTGAGTGCATTTTACAGCCCATATCACTTGCTGCACCAACTATGAGAGCACCTAACTGTTAAGCACGATCAGTCTCCCCCTCAGAGACAACTCTAAAAACTCCATACTCCTTGCTGATCACATTCTTCATTCTGAATGGTGAATTTTCCTAGTGGACTTTTTGACAAGCTGTTTATATCTTTTACATGTTTCATAATAGAAAGTACAGGGAAGCCACCAATAACAACGGTTCTACTGACGACAATTTGTATTTAAAACCCTGGTTAATTTAGGACCCGATTCAATTTACACTGTTATTTTATTCATACAGTAAACCCTTGAAGATCCAGAACTGGGAAATCCAGATTTTGGAAGATCCAGACATAAAATTTGGGGGTTCTGGGCTAAGAAGCCTCCTAGAAGTTTCCCTAAGAAACTTTCCCAAATCAGAGCAAAGAACATTTTAGGCCCGTGGGCACTGCTTGACCCATCAGTTGCTTGGACACAGGTGCTTGAGGAGGTGGGAAGCATAAACAGAGTTGACAATTGTTGTTTGTGGGAATATTATTTCATTCACTTTAGTAATGACACAATGTTTCTTATTATGTTATCAGAGGTAAATGCATGGTATATATATGGTAATTTGTTTATCACTACAATAGTACTGTATTTTTGGTGTTTCCTATATCATTTATTATTTGGCGGAAAAATTCGGACTATGGGCTTTTCCGGACAAGTGGTCCCCCCCCTTTTAGTCCAAACCTTTGAGGGTTCACTGTATTCACAACAAAAATAGAATAATAAGTAAATAAATTTAAATTTCATATAAATAATAACAAAATCCAAATATATATATATACACACACAGAAGTATTACAAAATAAAAACACGCCTTGCACACGAATGCTGCCGGGCTGGTGATGCCAACATCACTAACTTAAACAGTTGAAGCTTAGCGGGCATTTTGTTTTCACGCATCTGAACGGGAACAGGAGCAAAACTTTCTCAGGTATCTTATGGCACTTTTGTGCCCCTAATCAACATGAGCAAGAGAGCAAGTGACGGTTTAAAATTTAAAAGAAAGTGTACGAGCTTAGCCAAGAAACTAGATGTGTTAAAATGATATGAAAAATGTGGGAGGTCAGTGGATATTTCATGCGCTTTGAGGATGGCAGAATCAACAGTGAAAACTATCATAAGAATGAAGAAAAATTCTAAGAAAGTGCTCAGTTGATAAGAGAAAGTTCAGAAGCTATTAAACAGTGGCAGAAAAGACCTAACAAATGAAGAACAAACTGTATTAATGTTTCCAATGTGAAGCAAATTATTCGTGGCAGTGATCTTTCGTTTATAAGAGAAGAGAAACAAGCACTGCACTACTAAAAATAGGGGATTCTGAAACCCCGTGCATATCCACACATGTCAGACAACACCAGTCACAATCCACAGTCCAGAGAATTGAATATCTAAACCTTAATCCCTCCTCAGAGCATGAAGCTAAGAAATGTGCTCACTGGTTTATGTACTAGAGGGTGAGCAATATGGTGACAAAACAAATATAAAAACATCACAACTACAATAAAATAGCCATTATAATGTAATCTTTTAAGTACTTCCATACTGATTCATACTCCACGAAGTAACCGATTAAGAGACTTGTAACTGAAACATTATACTTTCTTAAATATCAAGTACAACCTCAAATTCTGCAAAACCACAGGAACCATGAACAGGGGCCCATCCTCCATTTCTAAGTCAATTCTATGAAGATTTAGTCACACTCACATCCTCTTTTCTCTTGAATAGTAGGGGTTTCCAGCGCCACTAACACAAGATAATTAGATGCTCCTTGCATGCTGCACCATAGCCAAGTTGACAATTGTCATGTGTCCAACCATCCAACTAGCTTGTGAAGGAAATTTACTCCTCACCCACACTGTATGTTCCACCATGACCCCTGCCACTTTTTGAGGAAAACACAGTATGCCATAAAAAGAATGAGAAGCATCATGGTAATTAACTTGAGTCTGAGGACCTTTCGTGCCCCTTCCACAATTTACAACTCAAACTGCCAGATGAAACACTAACACTTGACATAATCTTATCCGACTCATCATCCACAGCAAATACTCCACGAGCAACTAGCAAAACCAGTCATAATCAGAAATATTTGCCATACACTGGTTGCCCAAAATATGAGATTGTACAAGAAGAAAGTCAAGGAATTCAGGATTAGATACAGGCGATGAGAAAGGAGCAGGAACACAAAACCCCTTACTTGGGGGGGAGGGGGGTAAACATCAGTATTAAATCAAGCGGACCCAAATCAGCCTCAAAGGCTAGGAACAATTCCTGTGAAGGTTTTCCTGCATCTTGTGAACACTACTCTTTGGTAGCCTGGGCTGCATCTAAATAACCGGGGAAAATATCAAATATATACCCTCAAATGTCTCGTATAGTAAAGTACTGGAGAAAAAAAAAAAAAAAAAAAAGGGGGGTGCACCCTCGGTATATGTTCACACATCTGTACATTCACTTTGTTCCGGGATTAGACTTACAATAATTCAACACCAAGGACTGTTTAGCTAAGCTCAAACACCTTAAACAGTGCAAAATAATCAGACAAAACAGTTTATCTCCTAAGTGCCAGGAAATATGGGAACTCAAGCCTGGAAGACCATTATGAATGAGCCTGAGAAGCGAGGTGCAGCAGCAGCTATGGCATTACTGTACATGCTCATCTGACCTCTACTGCACAAGAGTGAAAACCCATACTGTACTCACAAGTACCCCAATTTAGAATCAACAGCTGTAAGAGGGAAATTTTATTATTAGCTAAGCTTGGTCCAAGTCACTAATGTCAAGTCTTCTGGATCATAGTCCAACAGTTTTGGTGACTATACTATACTAAAGCAGCTTTGTGAAAGATGTCTTGCCATAACTGCCACTAAATGAAGTGAGCATATTAATTGCAGTACACAAATAGCAAATACTGTACAATATACAATAGTAGAAATACCCAAAACCAACCTGAATCTGGTTAGTGAATGCTCCTGGAGTGAAACGGCCAGCAATGGGTCTGGCACCTGTGTATCTTGCAAATTTGAGTACAGCTCTTTGTCCCATGGGGCGTGATGAAATCACATACACATCAGCAGGGTTTTCAATTGCAGCAATTGCACGTGCAGCAAGCAGAATCTTCTCATAAGTCTTACGCAAATGGATGATGTGAACACCTGTATCAAAAGATAAAGTTTTATAAAAAAAAACAGTGAAAAACTAAGCAACTGACCATAAAAAACCACTAATCCTTTTGTTAACATTAACCTTTATCCCATATTTTTTTTTATGAATTGAATATTACTTTAAAAGGAAAACTAGTAATATGTTAAGCACTGCAGCCACCATAGACAAAATTGAGAATTGGTACTTCAATATAAATTATACTGCAACAATTCTAAATCATCAATACGGGATTGCAGATAATGTTTGTGGTGAACCTAAACATGCATGCAAATATCCATTTTTTGTGGTAACTATCTCCAGTGTGATGAAAATATTTGAACAATACCCCATGTCAATCATCATCAGTATTGGCAATGAAGGCCCATCCAGTTAGGTTAATTACTGATGTTAGTGAAGAGGAGGAATACTAAAAGCCTTCAGTACACAAGGAGGCAGCATGGCTGGTACTGCACGCAACTGCATGCACTTCCCACAAGTTGTATACTTAGGTACCCATTTACAGTTGAGTGAACTAGGAGTGCTCAGGGATCACACCACAGAGCCACGGAACAGGAGGAGAGCCCTGTACAGTATCCACTCAACTGGCACCAAACTCCACAGGAAACATAATGATTCAAAATAAGAAACAAGGTTCAGATACTTGGGCTCAGCATCTGAGTGAAGGAGATTGTGACCTAGAAGTTAGTTAAAGATTAAGATATAAAAATGAATGAGTGCAAGAAGTTGCAGGGACCACGTAGGAAGAAAATTATCAGAAAAAAAGTATAGAAGACAACATTGAAAGCAGCACAGCTACAAAGCAGACACTTTGTTCTTAAAGAATGACCAGATATGATGATTTGGTGGATATCAAGAATGCCATTAAAAAAATTAGCAATGATAATAGGAACCTGTTAGGAGTGATTACAGATAAGACAAGACATACTGAAGAGTGAAAGTGGCAAGGAGAGCAATGGAAATACCAGAGGAGCATACAAACAATATGGTAACAGGAAATTTAGCTGGGAAAGACTTAATGAATTGAGAATAAACAGCACAGGAGGAGACAGGGTGTTCATCTGTGGAAAAAAGAATAACACAAAAGGGCTGACCCCCAAAAATATGGGTTTACTGTATTACCAGTTGGAAGAATCTTATCCCGTCGCTGGCCAATGATATAAGTTACATCATCCACATGTCACCCCCACTTGATCGATGACTGGCTGTCATCCAAAATTTGGGTTTGGACTTTTTTGGTTTCATTTAGCTGCAGGATCACCAAGAACAAGTTCTTTATGAACATTTGGCAAATCTATGCAATGTAAGCTTCTGGTTGTGCCCAATTTGAGCCAGCAGGAGGGGGTTTGGGAACTGTCAGTGTATTAGTAACACAGCTTGTCTTCAGCCATTGAGGTATACAGTATGTGGCACACATTACAATCAACAGAAACAATAAACAATTTACCATCCTGACGCCTCTTGAAGACGTACTGTTCCATCTGGAAGTTTACATTGTTGGCGCCCAAATGTGTTGACGCGGCCAGGAACCGTGTCACATCATTTTCCTCAAGGCTCATAACTTTTAGTCCTCCCGACATTTTCTGAAAACATACATAAAAAATATATGAGCAAATTATCAAGAAATTCAGAAATATAAAGGCACAAGATACAGGTCTGAGTGAGCATTTCAAATGACCGAATGCAGCGAGAATTTAAAACGACAAACATTTAAGGGGTCAGACAAATGCTTCATGCCCAGAAAAAAGTCCGGGTAATGATTCATTATATCGTCCTCTTCGTTTTTTACGGAAAAATATACTTTTCTAGTGTATTTTAGTGTGCTTTATTTAAATCTGACCACTTTCTTTGGAAAATCCCCATTTATGAGAAAATGTCAAAGAGACATATATTACTAACCAACCAAAGAAACCTACCTAACTTCCTTTATGGTGGGCTCTACCACCCGGACCCCCTGCCATATTAAACAGAAAGTACATATACTTAAATTATTTTGTTATCTGGTACCAATTAAAGCAACTTTGTTGAAACGTCATGGTGTAATTTTACGTTTTTAGTGGACACGAGAGTATGCTGGGACAGCGCATTGGTTGTAAACAACAGAGAACACAGCCTCTTGGCAGATTTTTGGAGGATTATTTAAGTTAAATAATTCAACTTTAGTCATTACCTCCGGAATAATGAATTATCCAAGTGTTGAAAGGTAACATAACGTATATATAAAGTCCAAATAGCAACTCTTCTATACACACTGGCGAGGACGTTAATCCAGACTTAAGAACATAAGAATGGAGGAAACTGCAGCGGGCCTATTGGCCCATACTGGGCAGTCCCGTTTACACCCAACCCCTATTGCTCATATAAGCATCCAACCTATGTTTGAAGCTATTCAGCGTATTCGAGTTAATGATGATATTTGGTAACTTGTTCCATTCATCCACTACTGTTTCCAAACCAGTGTTTACCTATTTCACGCCTATTTCACTTCTGAGGGTTTACTGTATACTCCTACTATAAACGTAGTAAGATGTTTCAAGCGCATTTCTATTTTATTAGAATGGGATTTAGAAGTCATTTTGTACAGTGAAATGAGCCAAATAAGAATTACTCTTTATGACACCTCTTTTGGGAACTAACCACGCCATGTGAGGGGTTTCGTCGTGCTCCAGTAATGCCTTCGTTACCATCATAACAAATGTATATATATTTTTTCTTTATTGTTAAAGTACAGAGTGAATTAATGTGAGTATACTTTGAATCAATTTATAGACGTGAAATACGTAGTTAACTGTTAACCTGTGATGTTTCGGCTCTCACTCAGGCTTGTTCACAAAGGGACACTGTGTGACTTGCTCTCTGTCGAGAATACAAGCCTATGTGACATTGCAGGGGCGGATCCAGGAATATCAAAAGAGTGGATCCAAGAAGTTGTGGGTGAGCATAGCGCACCCACCCAGCTGGTAGGTTTTGGAGGGTGCTTACAGCCCCCCCCCCCGATTTTTTTATTTTAAATCTGACCAATATCATGGGCATTTTGAGGCCATTTAGAAGCCATGTGCACTTGATACTAGGAGATATTCGGAGTGCAATAGTAATTACATTTTACTCTACAAAAATACCTGAGTACAATACTGCAGAAAAGAAAAAGTATTGGAATATTCTGATGAAAAGAGGTGGTCTGGACCCCAAGGACCCCCTCGATCTGCCCCTGCATTGATATATTCACCTAAATTTTTTTTTTTTAGAATTTACAATAAATTTAAATGGTAATTCTTACCAATGTAGTTATACCAATGCCCTGATTTCATTATGTGCACACCTGTCTAACCAAGTTACCTAAAGGTGCTGGAATTGAGGGGGTTATTAGCTAGTCCCCAGAACCCAGAGTTACTTGCCTGGGCACCCCCCGAAGTCATCCTCACACTAGACAATTCCCCATATTTCATGCTGATGTACCATTGCAAACAAAAGTCCACTCGCTTCCCTTGCTGCTCCACAAACCCTGATATTCAGACTCGTCAACCCAAAGCACCAGACACTTGCATTATTCTTCTATAAATACGTCGGATTCACGAGTGTAAATCTTGGGGTTCGTGGACCAGCAAGAGGTGTGACAGGACCTTTGTTTGTGACTGTACATGCTAAAACAATGTGAACTTGAAGGAAGATTTCAATAAACAAAGCATCTAACCATCAGCACAAAGATGTTGGCAGGGCCATGATATGAAATTGCAAAGGTTTCACCCACCGAAAACCTCACCATTGTAATGCAAAATGGTAAATGAAATGGATTCTTTTCACTAAGAATGTAATCTCAAGGCTGCCTGTGGGTTAGGTAGCCGCAAATTACAGCCATGGAGTTACTAACATGTATCCATCTAAAAATGTATGAATAGAATTTATCATCGGAAACACACTACTATTTTTCTATACTTATACACACAATACATATAGACATACATTATAACAAGGAACAGCATAAACGTAAATACGATGGCCAACAATATGCACGGTAGTTCAACCAAGATTAAACCCATGTACCGTAGCCTGTAACTTAATTGTTAAAATACAAAGATAGCATATGAATACAAGATAATAATCCGGTGCAGCGCAGACGGATACACTATAATAAAATGCTGTACTAGTCCTATATATATGTTTAAATCACTGTAGGTGCGCGTGATCCAGGTATATGCTGATAACCACAAGGAAAGAAGAAAACACGAAATTCCCAAGCGCTTTCGTGTAATTCACATCTTCAGGGGTGAGGACAGAATGTGTTTTCTTCTTTCCTTGTGGTTATCAGCATATGTCCACAACTGCTCACACACCCGGAGGAGTTGTTTACATTCACAAGCTGGTCGCCGTATATTTATCGTCCAACATCCACTTATTTAAAATTCTAATGTAATTTATATCAATGAATGTATATAGTTCAATTGCCTATGTTTCATAAAAATTACTCAATAATGACAAACACTAGCGACAACAGCTCATAAATGGAATAAATGCAAGACTCACGGCGGTTATCCTCACGACGGAGGGATCGCATGAAGAAGGAGCGACCACAACAACACAGCTGAGGGAGTTTGGTTCTAATTAACACTTGTTATTCTTGTATATTTATAAACTTCATTAACAAATTCAATCAATATTTATTTGCTTAATAAAAATACTTGAATCTTAATTTTCTACATTTCATTTCATAATACTGTACATATAATACCGTCACCAGTTTTTTTTAGAGAAAACGTGTTGGCTATTTTAGGAGTAACTCTTTAAGAAGTACTTTACTTACTTTTACTTGTATCCTCTTCACCACTGATAGACTCGTTAGCCGCTTGGGCGATCGGTCACGTCTCTGTTACGCACTGTTGGCAAGTACTGGGCATGCACCGGCTCCTGAATGTATTTCTGAACCTGCTCCAGTGCTTGTCAAGTCTGGTCTTGAAAAAGCTCATACTCGGTGTCGTCAAAACAATCTCTGGCAGATTGTTCCAAGAGTTTACAAATCTCACTCCGAAAGCGTTACCCCTCACAATTTTCTGGGCTTGCGGCTTCTTCAACCTTGAGCTGTGACCCCTTGTGGAGCGAGCGTCCACCAGCTCCAGGTTAGAGCACTCGACTGAGTAGTGCCCCTTGAGATGTTTATACACCCCAATTAGGTTCCCCAGTACCCCCAGTACCTATTTTTCACCTTCGGTACAATACGTATAGTGAGTGGACTGGTCACTCAGGTGCACCCGAAGTCTTGGAATCATATTTTTTTTTCAATGGAGGCTGGAATCTACAAGCAAGGTTGTGTTTCTCATATTTCTTAATTTACTAACTTGTGTCATTATTAATCTATAGTTATGCGCTTAAAGACTTAAGATCTTGAAGCACAGTAAAAACAAAATAACGTAAACGTAAACTGTAAAGGTATTTCCAAACGACTGTGAAATATTTCTATATTTATCATGTGATAAATAAAAAGTCGTTTAATCAAATATGACATATCCTATGGTCACTAAAACAGTTTAAAGTTAAAACAGTGAAGACGATTTAGTGACAAGAAATTAAACTGGGAACTTTAGCAAAATGCACTACAAATGTATGGCACACGTTCAGTTCTCTTAGCTCCTCTCTCTCTTAATTGTAAATCAATAATAATTGGTTCTTTTTACCCATCGGTCAATTCGAATTAGAGTACTTTTTTATTTGTTTATCATTGCCATCACCTGTAATGATATTTTTGTATGATGCTACATTCTTAGGTTTCTTATTCGTAGACTGATTTTCTCTATGTCAATGAATATAATATTTCATAGGTACTCCACAGTACATATCTTAGTTACCCGAGGCGTCACTGCAATAAAGGTCAAAGTGTTTGTAGCTAGAACAAGATGTTTGGTTCCGAAATGTAACCTTGAGTTTCCTGGCACCGCTAAACGTGACATTACATAGGTGCAGAGACTGAATATTACAACATTGTCTACTATCACTAGCCCTAGGGCACCCACAGTCGATCGAGCTGTGATTAAGTACCTGGCATTACTTTTACTTTTATCCTCTTCACCACTGATAGGCTCGTTAGCCGCTTGGGCGGTCGGCCACGTCTCTGATATGCACTGTTGGCAGATAATGGGCATGCACTGGCTCCTGAATATATCTGAACCTGCTCCAGTGTTGGTCAAGTCTAGCCTTGAATGAGCTCACACTCGGTGCTGTCACAACGCTCGTCAGCAGATTGTTCCAAGATTTCACAATTCTCACTCCGAAAAAATTTGCCCTCACAGTTTTCTAGACTTGTGGCTTCCTCAACCTTGAGCTTTGACTCCTTGTGAGGCGGATGCCCGCCAGCTCCAGGTATATAATGTGATAACTGCCAATGAGAACAACTCGCGTATAGAATTTGTGTGGATTCCGTCCCATGTTGGAATTAGGTATCATGACCGTGCTGATAGACTGGCCAATGAGGCATGTAAGAAAGAAAATGTTGACCGTGACCTTGGTCTGTCCAACGCTGTACTTAAAAACATTCAAGTCAGAATCATGAACTCTGATCTAGAAGAACTGAGAAATGCAGAGAGACCTGGCAGTTGTAGCATTAGTAAATATGACAAATTTTGTGACGAGAGGTACCGGTATGGCCAGCATAAGGGCAGAACCAGACAATGTGATGTAGTCGTGGCCAGAATTAGGCTAGGATACAGACACATCTAGCAAGTTAGTAGCGCTGTACCCATACCGGAACACTCAGCATGTAAACTTTGTGATAAACCTTTAAAGCATACGCTTCAACACTATATTATTGAATGTGACACTGTCAAAGACTTCAGGCCACCTGGCTTATTGCATCATGAACTTTTTAATTACTACATTAAATCGGGGGTGCTTGAGGACATTCTTGCTGTTTATCCCAAATTTGCTAGCCCACACTGATTAATCTTCAATTGAAATATGACGTCTAATGTATATGAACCTCTGTCCTGCGTGGCAGTGAACAGTGACATCACCCACATGAATCTGACCTACATATACTGTTAATGAATATGATGTATTTCTTTGTGTATGAACCTCTGTCCTGCATGGCAGTGAGAAGTGATACCACCCTCAGTGTCAAAACCTGACTGAATTACTCAGAATAGGCAAACTGTACTCCAAGCTTTGTCAATAAATTTGTTAAACTAAAAAAAAAAAGAGGTACACATTGGCTTATGAAAATAGTAACATGGGTCACCATTAATTCTTAAGGCTAATCCTTATAATTTAACCAGTTTTAGAACTTGCAATGTATCAATTAAATTGTTTACAAATACTCAGATTAACATGTTCATATCTTGTGAAGTAGCGTTTAAGACATATGTAATGAATTACCCATGGCCGTTAGACGACCACACTGGAGGCTTAGACATTTTCTGATCAATGATTTAAGACTTTCTTTAATACTAAAATGACAATTACTTCAATACAGTTATCAGGTTCTCTGATGGCTGCGAATCAAAGAAATATAACTTAAGTTTTGAATGGATAACTCGTAACTTGACAAGAGACAAAAACAGTAATCACAGATGTGGCTGGAAATTCATATAAATCATCTGGGTACAATGTCAACTACATTTAAATATATCTGAAGCCTTCAACTTATACCTACTGAACCTTGACCTACTGGTACGTATATATAGCTTAAAGATACTTATACATATTACATCATAATTTTAAATTTACCATACAGGGGCAATACAGAAAACAAAATCTCTCTAGGGGTAACTCGCTCATTTCATACATGTTTTATAGACGACGGAGCAAAATATGAATAAGTACGGATGTGAAAATATTATCAGTACAACTGTGCCCATGACACATGTTATTTCATAACTTTCAACTTACATTGTAAGAGTACAGTATACTTAAGGATGTATGAATGAAAACGGATGGCACCTCTCGCTAAGGAAAAAAAATCTCTCTCTAGGGTTAACTCATTTATTTCACACATGCTTTGTGGACGATGGAGCATAATATGAATAATTAAGTATTGATATTACTAGCCGTGAAATTGTGACCATGACACTCTCACCAGATTTTCATTGACTAATGGAATGTTAACGGGCAAACCCTTAATTGATCCTATTTCACCTGGACCCAAGAGAAACAATGCATTATGATCTAACACCACCTGTTTTAACTGTTTTCACATGTCCATATCCAAGTGTGTCCACAGCACCAGGACTCAAACGAACTGGCTGCTTTGAAGTATTACTCATAGGAACATAAACACAGGGATTATCTTGGACTACCACACACATATCAGGCTGTTGCTTCAACCACTTGTGCATAAATCTGATACTCAGTCTGACCTAATTCTGCTTTCACCTAAATTGGCTTAATTTGAGAACTGTTACCACTTCTTCTTATCACTGTGTAGATAAGTCAAGTCCTTGGAAAATGGTAAAACTGAATCAAACTGTAACGTTTTAACCTTGACTACATCCCGCAAGTATTCTCCATCACTGGGGTTCCAATACACCTGTGAATGACCTCCTCAAAGAAACTGATTCTTTCCTTGATGCCAAAAAACTCCAAATCTTCCTAAGATATCTACTCCTAATGCTGTAGTACAATTATGGGCAACCTTTCCCTAGTTATAGGCCGCTTTACGAATTAGGTATTTTTTTCCGGGCCTACCCACCAAAATTTATATCCTACCTAACCCAAAAGTAATGTTAATATTGTATTAGCACGGAGAGTGAAGCAGTTTATCGTCACGTCCACCTTACGATATTTTCAGTTTACAATCAGTCTTTTTCCCATTTATGAAACAAATCCACCATGAAAATTTTTTAAGTAATAAGTTAATATTTCTTGATATTTCACAGAAGATGACTGAAGTAGTCTGTGAATACGTCGATTTTTCCTACAATTACAGCATTTTTCTTACTTATGAGACACCCACCAGAATAATGCCAATGTTAATCTTGGCGCATGAGGAACTACAATGAAACAATCTCTCTTTATATGTATATATATATATATATATATATATATATATATATATATATATATATATATATACATTATTTGATTTTTAATTACTCAGTAATTTTTCTACCGAAATATACTTTTCTCTTGGAATTGGAATTTAAAGAGTTTAACTTATTAAGTACTGTACTTCCAGAATAACACAAAATCACCAAAATCGCACCTCGGAAACCCATAGTTGACGATTAATTAGCATTGAAATGATGTAATTGAAATATTCCAACCATTAATTACCCCGCAATTGATTCGTAAACCCTTGATCCTGATCATGCTGATTCCTAATCTATGGTCCATGAATCGATTGTGGGGTAATTAGTGGTCGTCATGATGGTTCGAAGATTTTAATTACATTATTTCCTTGTGTTTCCAAGGTGCGATTTTGTTATTCTGGAAGTACTTAATATATTCATATTCTAATCTTAACCTTTCCTTTTCCAATGCAAAATTGTTACTCCTTTGCTTCCTACCATCATGGTTAACCAATGCCTCAGTTTGTTCCTCATGCTCCTTAACACTCCCAAAGAGACTTAGTCTTCCACAAACTCTTTCTGCATTTCATCCTTATTACTAGACCTTTAATAAATCTCATATAAAGATGCTAATCTAT